TTTCAATGCCGGCGTTAGGGCGTCGGTCCATTTCATGTTGTTAAACCTAACTCTATCGTGAATTTTGTTTTTCATCGTTCTAATAAAACGCTCGGCCACATTTGCGTGGGTCTTCGTAACGATGTGGTTTATTCCTTCACTGTTGAAGAAATCCTGAACGTGATTTTTAGTTGCAAACGCTCCGTCGTCATCAGAATACACGGACATCGGATAACCCATCTTTTTAAAGCTTGCTCTCAACGCCTTCAAAACGTTCTCTCCGTCTCTTTCCTCCATCGGTATTACATCTGCTAATTTACTGAAGATGTCAATCACGACTAAAGCATACTGTGGAACGTTCTTGTCTTTTGCTAAAGGAGACATATGCATTATGTCTATTTGATATTCATATCGTGCGAATGGAGCGGTATAGGAATTAGTTCCTCTATAATTTTTGATTTGTTTATTTGGCTGTTTCTTTAAGAAAGACTTTACATCGTCTAATGTTATTGTTGGGTCTTCTTCCTTTGCCTTCTTGTGTGTCGCTTGTGTGCTTCCGAAACCCTCGTCTAAGTCGTAATAGATGTTGCTGATTATTTGGTCTTTTGTTAATCTCGCCATTATATTAAATTGTTAGAAAATATTTTTTCAATAAAAACCCCGCCCCTTAACATAAAATAAAAAACTACTTAAAGAAATATTAACTTATTATATTAAGTGAAAATATGACTGAAAATGTCGGAGTGATTGCTGACTTATCAAACTGGGTGCTATCAGACGAAGAAGATGATGATAATGACAGTTATAAAAAGGAATTAGATGACGAGTTAAACAAAATAAAGGATTTCGTCAAAAGACACCCTTTGCCATCAGTTGATGAAAACGAAGAATTCTGGAAAGATGTTATTAACAGGTTTAGGGATAATAGCGGATTAAACTTGATGACAATATACTCATTTGTTAGGTTTGACATCATGAAAGAAATGTATGAAAACCTAACAGATGAAAACATCATAAAAGACTGTGGTAAAAAGTTAAACCGAGATGGGCAGTTTAATGCTATGATTATTAATCACTATATCTTATCGGGAGCGATACGGAAACTAAACACAGAAGACAGTCTAGTAGATGGACAGATGCGAATTATTGAATTCTGGTGGGATGGAATAGGTGGATGGAAAGCGTGAGTGATTTAGTTTAATGATATTATTCAATTATAATATGATTAAACCTAGTTTTTATAATCTAACAATGAGGTTAAGACATTTAAATTAAACCTGAAACCCAGACCAGCCGACCAGCAACCCCCTAGCCAAAACTACTTAAAGAAATATTACCTTATATATTAAGAGAAAAATGAGTAAGGGTAAAATGTCAGAGAATAATTTTATGGTTGTGAATTGCGCTAGCTTACCTGAAGGCTTAGTTTCAATCATCACTACTTACATTAATGGTAGTGAAGGGTGGCAAAGACTAAAACAGTGTAAAGCATTAAGGGTCTTACAAAGGAAATGGAAACCGTCTATTTACACTGAACGAGTAGGAGAAAGTAGATATTATGTTGAGATTCGCAATAAATGCTTAAAAGGTGATAAAGCGCTTTCATATGCGTTGAAACCACCAAAAGAATTATTAAGAATGATGAAGTATGATGAAGAAATACAGGTTGGAATAGAAGTTAGTTCGAAAATTATGTATCATAATAATATTAGCAACTGTCGTTCTTATTCATCATCTAAACAGAATAAGATTTCAAGTAGAGCGTCATTACAATACCATATTGAACAAGCAGTTGAAGAAACCAAACAGACTATGAAACGACACGAAATCATTACTATCGAACATGTTATAATTGAAATTTATAGAAAACAGAAACAATGATTTCATGGTTTAATCATAATATTTAATTATAGTATGATTAAACATTGTAAACTTTTATAACCTTTCATTATACTGTAATTTTAACCTATAACAAAATTTCATTAACAAAACATATATCAAAACAAATACACCACCAACACCCCAGAACTTGATAACTACTAAAAGGGCTACCTCTTTCAAATGAAAAAAATGTTTGCCCCTAGCCCAACAATGAACAAGGCGACAATTTACCCAAATGATTACCTTAACGAAAACGATAAATAAGCTCCCCAAAAACCCTCTATTAAAAACGAATAAGGGGAAACACAGATTTGAGATGAACATAAAAACCATAACAGGCAACCCTCAACAGGCCACCCCCCAGGCCCCCTACTTTTACCATTTTTTCCCCCCCCCCCCCCAACAAAAAGACACCCCCACTTCCCCCCCCCCCGCCCCCAGCCCCACTCGTCCGGCGAACCGAGCCGCCGGTTGGAGCCGCCTCAGCAGCGCCAGGAGGCCCCCGGTGGCCTCCAGGCCGCCCTGGCCCGGCTTCAAGGAGCTGAAGACCTGACTCGGTCGCCGAAGCCCTCCCCTCCTTCAGTCGGCATTCCGGGGGCTTTCTCGGGCAGTCTGCAAAATGGCCCCCAGGTTCGGCTAGGTGATTCCTGTTCCGTTCTTTTCAAGCATCGTTCTTTTCAAAAACCCGGCTGGTTCCCCTGGGTTTTGGAAGGTTTTTCCTGAAAACAAGGATCCCTGGAAAGAATGGGGAAGGTACCCCTGGAAAAATGGGGGGGGAGGCGTAGGTGTAAAAATCGACGGGTTCCCCTGGTAAATGGGGCATAACCCCCACCTAAACCAGTGGAACCCATCGATTTTTCACCAAACTCACCTATAAAGGACACCTATGAAGGGGGGGGCGTCGTTTTCAAGGGAACCCAAAAACCCAAAAAATGTGGTTTCAGGTGGGTTTCCTGTGGGTTTCCTGTGGGTTTCCTGTGGGTTTCCGGTGGGTTGGGTTCCTGTGAAGTTTCATCTGGGCTGTCTGTGGGGTGTCCTTCAGGTTTCCTTTGAACCAACCCATGGGGTGTCTTTGTCTTAGTTGGCACCCACCAAAATATGCTTCGTTTGGCTTCCTTTCAAGCCGGCACCACGAACAAATGCGAGCGCTGCGCGCAGCAATCTCTTTCAGAGCACGTCACAAAGCAACAGGTTGTTGGCAATGTTAGGTTTTGGCCATGTTACTCAGGGGCCACTGGGAGTTCAATTAACTGGTGGGCTTCCGTTGAAACTGCCACTTATGGAGGTTCCAAAGTGGAGGACACCCTGTTGCTTCACCTGGGCAGCTGTGCTCACACGTCCTTTCCCGTCCTGATGTTTTACGACATTGAGTGGCCTCACCTCTCCCGAGAACGCGCCGGTGGACTTCTTTTGGCCGCGCCACTTCTCGTTTTCCCCTTCGGGGCGGAGAAGAAATTACCAGCCGGACAGCTTGTGCAGATCAAACAGGCTTCCATGAACCGGGAGCCACCAAAATACGCGAGAAAAGAGCAATCCAACACTAACAATCCGGTCAGCGCCAAACGCAAAAGACGGTGTGCAAAGATCAAGTTGGAGCCGGTGGCCAAAAACTGGTTCACCTTTGTACCTACGGCTAACCTCGGGCAGCGCGGTTACGGGCCTGGCTTGTACAGCTTGGAACTGGGATCCCTAGCTCCAGTTGCAGCCAGTTTCATCACTCAACAGCTGCTCCAACTGGCATGGTCTCCCACTGTTATCGGATAAATTCTTCTCGCAGGGGTCAGTTGGAGGTTGGGGGACTCAGCGTGTCAAGCAGTTGTCCAATCCAATCCAATCCGGGCACTTGGCTGTCTGGCTGAAGCAATGACACATAGTCATCTTCAATTTAGAAGAGGTGTGCCAATCTACATGGAGAAGAGGAATCACGGCATCTCGGTCATGGAGCAAACAGCTCTGTGATTCATCTATTCCTCGGTCAGAAGATGATCAGATGGTCTTCTGACACGTTTCCCGGGCCAGAAGGCACAGGCTGCAATGGGCATAGCTTTTTGCAGTCAGCTGTGACAAAATTAAACTCATCCCTAGCTAAAAGTAAGCTTCGGAAGGACTGCACCTCTCATGGGCTCTTCTTACCCCATTCTGAGCTTGCTATCATCCCGACGTATACACCTGTGCCCCAAAGACACGATCTTCTGCATCTAAAGGGTTGGGGGGATGGAGGAGCAACGGGAGAGGCATGGGGGAGGCACAATACGCAATGTACATTTCAAGCAAGCAACAGACGATCAGCAATTGTCATTAAACCCTGGGGCGCTGAATGGCGTGAGCCATCACGCCTCATGGGGGGCTGGCATCACTCTTGGCTGTTGTGATGTTTTGGACCCAAGCAAGAAAGCCTTACACACTAGTAACAAGCCTTGTCAATAATGTGTTCAACACATCTGGATCTCAGAGAATGAGCTTAGGGTGTTACATTTGGTTCAGGCCCCAGGAAACAACTAAAAATATTTCCAGTAGTGATGAGTTCCGGTTAAAGCCGACAAGGGGGAGAACAAAAATAAGCAAATGGAGGAACTCCGTACTGCAAAGCCTTGGCATTTGCTGCCCTTGCCGCATCCGCAGTCTGGCAGCGCCATGGCCGGAGAGACAGTCGATGAGCGTCGAACGTCCCACAAGCCGGACAAATCCCAAAGGATAGGACATCCAGAGCCGTTTCGAGGATCTGAGGAGGGTTTTAGGATAGTCCGAGGAGGGTTTTAGGATGGGATGCGCGAGCCCGCTTCCGTTCTACAGCAAAATGTGCCTCATGCTGCTAGGGAAAGATCGCCTGAGCTTTGTTTTGTTTTGGGAGGGACTGTCAAAGGATATAGCTGGGCATCGCAAGGGCTGACTTGCTGGCCGCCAGCTTCCGGAATTGATGCTCGCGCTGGGAACGTAATCTTCTTTTGAGGGTACCCCTTTTTTGTAGGCTGTAAGGCAAACCCCAAGCGAAACCACAATTTTGGGCACCCCCTAAAAGAAGAACACATCCACATCTCCTCTTGAAGCAGACCAGTCAAACTCCCCCCAACCAAGTGAAAAAGCCATGGAAGTCTTCACCCCAACTGGCCACAGGGCGGTCCGGAGCGGGGTTCGACGCTTCACAGCCGCCCCTTGGAGCGGTGGAAGCCGCCGCGCACGTCCAGGCCGGCCTGACCACGAACGAAACAAACGGTTGGCCAGTGGAGTGGAATTCCTCGTCTCTCCAATGGGAAGTTCGGCCAGTTCAAAGCGAATTGACCCAAAAAGGTGAATTTGATTGGTTGTGGGCCCGGTTCGGAAAACCGAAGTGGCCATGCAGTTCCTCACAATTCGCTTAATGACCCACTTGGCTGCAAAAAAGTGACCCCTCCGCAACAAGGGAATTTGATTTGTGGCGGGCCTGGTTCGGAAAACCTACGGAGTGTCCACCAAAAAGTTGTTAAAAACCAAACAGCCGCTACCAAATAGCCACGCAACTGGCTTGCTGCTGTCCTTGACCAAAAGTCCAAACCTCTCGTCAGCTTCCATTGGAAAAGGGGTACCCTTGCTTCGCTTGAAAGGACAACCGAAAACACAACTCCACTATGGGGAAGGCTGCCCCTGAAACTCGATCTGGTAATTTGAATACGGTGGGTAGGCATTCGTCGGCAAGAGGAAACGGGTTCCAAACGACAAGGGTCTAGTGGCAAATGTGGTTGTTTGTTTCAATCTCCTGGTCAGGCCAGGAAGCAACAATCAAATTAATTTCATTTGAAACCTCTTAGTGGACACATCGAACCCATAGCCCTCAATATCCACGAAGGTGTTCAAACAGGAGCTTACATTTGGATCACCCCCCGAACTAAGGGAACGTGGTTTTAGCATCGGATCCCTGTCTCTGCATTGATTCGGAACTAGCATCCAAAGAGTCCTGGCTGACGGAAACTCCCGATAACCCTTGCTCATGTGCTCGTCCCCAAGCCAGTCTTCCATGCAAATTGGCCGTAAAGCACTTGTGGAAGCTGGAGAGGATTGAAAGCCTCGCTTGCCGGGACCTCCGCCACACAACAAACCTACGTTTCGTCCATGGTCCATACTTTGGGGGACCTTGGAATATAACATCTCAAGCTTGCCAAGCAAATGTCCAGAATTCCCTTACCGGACATTACACTCCATTTGCTTAAGCCCCCTGGAGCAAATTACCTGTTTCCAGCAGTGACATCGATTCCCGTTCAAACCAACCAGGGAAAGTAAGACATATCCTTCAGGAACTGGGAGAAAAGGAACCAGGTCCTCGGCACCTGTGGGCGAGCTCCGGGGGAAAAAATAAAAAAGCCCGCCGCGGGGAGCGAGGGAGCGAGGGAGCGAGGGAGCGAGGGAGCGAGGGAGCGAGGGAGCGAGGGAGCGAGGGAGCGAGGGAGCGAGGGAGCGAGGGAGCGAGGGAGCGAGGGAGCGAGGGAGCGCGTGCGTGTCGCGTGCTCGTTTTAAGCGGCCGCGGCCGCCGGGTTTCGGCCCAGCGGAAGCCTCAAAGAGCCGCTGCTCCACGCGGTTCAAGGCATCCTGCGAGAGGATCGCCGGGCCGTGGGTCAGAATTGGGTAACTCCAAAAGGGAAGTTGCACGAAGAAGTGGAAACATGGACAAAATTCTGTGGTCCATATCCTGGTGGCTTAGTTTTGACCCATGCCCAGCCCACCGCAGGGATTTGGTTGTCCGCGTTTCCAGCCTGGTGAAGAACAGGGGTCAGCCAACTTAGATCTATTGATCCGCTGCCCATCGCTGAGTATTGAGATTGAATGTGCGTTGCGTTGTTGCCGGACCCCACGCTAATGGATCCCAACAGCAGTTGGGCACCCCAGAACATTTCGTGAAACTCAACGTCCTCAGTGTGAAAACTAGTGAAGACAAAGCTTTGTAGGTTTCTGTAGAAGGTCGCTGTGTCTTACGGATGAGCAAGCTGCCGGGTGCTGTGAGAGCGCAAAGCTCGCTCTCTCGTGGAAGAAACCGAGTCGCTTGTCAAACATTTCACTCTGATTTTCATTCAGCTACCCACCAGGAATTGAGACCTCGTCCTTGGCTGTGGTTCAAAAGGGGCTGTGAAGGGTCTCAAAGCCTCGACCTGCAAAAAGCGGAAATTCCGTGGCCCCAGAGTTTCTCTGCGTCACACACCGGCGATCCCGCCAGATCGAACTAAACCCCTGGCCCCGTTCCGCAACGCTCAATCCATTCAGGATGATGTAAGTTTCCTGGAGATGGCTGACCCCGAATATACGCATGCATGTGTATGCACATATATATATATATATATATACATATATATATATATATATATACACACATATATATATATATATATTAAATTATTAATATTAATTTATGTATGTATGTATATATATATATATGTGCGTTCACGCAGGTCGATGTATAGTGCTTACATGCTAAATACTGTGGGCGGATACAATTTAAAGTTTGTATACATATCTAGGAATATGCCGACATGCGTACGTACATGCAAATTGAAGTTCGTGTGCAGATCTAAGATACTGCAGACATGTGTATGTACACGAGCCCTCATATGCGCACACCGTATATCTAGGTGCGCAGGATATATGTGACATCCACAGCAAAGGTTCTTCATGACACAGGCTCCTTCAGCAAATTGCGTCACGGGCAGTCACTTGTTGCACTTCCTTCACAAGCCAATGAAGGATTATAGCAAGAGTACTGATCATGAACACATCCAGCTGAAACAAACCGGAGACAAGAATAGAAAAACATCACCCCAAGCAAACAGGCGCTTGAGTTGCACAGCTTCTCTGGCCAAAGGGTCAAAGGCTCGACACATCGAACAAATGTATGTGTATTTTCTGAGGGTTGCCCTGCTCGCCTGCGGCTAATTGTCTTGCCCAGTTCACCTTGAGGGAAACCCACAACCAATTGCATGGTACCCGTATTTTGACACACACACACACACCAAACGAAAGAAAAGCACCCAAGCCAACCGCAAATGCCGAAACACTGCGAGATCTGCAGCGTCTGCTGGCAATGGTTTGGCTGTAGCCTTTGAATGCCTTCCTCATACAACATCTACCCATCACTTGTCAGGTGGGTGACTTCTTCCCTACGCCTGTTAGGTATTTGGCGAGATGATGTTGTTTGCTCAGAAAGGATGTCATTTCTTCCCAGAACTGCCAAAAGGGATTGGAGCCCCTGAACCGAATGGTTGCTTCTGTCCTTTTTATGTTATTTTCTATATTTGGCAAGCCAACAAACCCACATTTCTGGCATGTTCTCTTCCGACTTTTACGTAGGCTATCACGGCTGCAGCGGCACGAAGTCCGTTTCACCCGTGGCTGTAACCTACTGAGTTACCTCAGAGCCCCCGCCTTGCCCACCATCACCCGGTAGGTCTCCGGAATCGGACTGACCATGGGAGCCGGCCTAGGCCAGGGACTTTTGGTTTCCCTTGCAAACCACAAAGACTGAGACACCCTCAAAACAACAAACCCATTTCCAAGGAGCTTCACACCTTCAGCTGAGGAGTTCACTTCGTGGTAAGCTTGCTTGTTTTTTTGCTTACTGTCGTAAATTCAGAAATACTTTTAGGCTCTGTCTGATTGCTTAATGTTTCTTGCTCAATGATATTGACGCTGCCACAACGATCCCAGTCTGAAATGTCCGGGGGCTGCCGGTGCAAACATGGGGATGTGTGAAATATGAGTGTTTCTTTGGGCAATCCTCCGCACCTCTTGAGACTCCAACATGTCATTTACGAATGATGTAAGCAAATCTCAAGCACCTCTCAAACATTTTGAGACAATTGCCCAATCTGTGTGCTTGCATGCGGTTAGGGGCATTGCAGGTGTTCTGTTCCCGGCTGATAACACCCGACGTGTGTAGGAGCTCGCACGCCCAACATGCAACGCATGCTACCCTATGGGAGTCTCGCTGAGATGGGGAGACCCCAATTGTCTTAGGGCTACCAGACCAAATGAGGCGGAGCCCAAACCGTTTTGGGGGCCCAAACTTTTGTTTTGCACCCTATCAAGTTGATGCCCAAGCTCTTTCGGCCAACAACCCCACACCCGAGGATTGCCAATCGGCTGCATAGCAACAAACACCCATGACAGAGAAACAACAAAAGAGTACCGCGACAATGCGCCCTGTGAAAGAGACAAACTGGCTATCACCAAGCTGGAATGTCTTCCCGGCCCTTGAAACACGCGCAAAACAAGTGTCCGCAATTTCTGTCAGACCCAACCTCAACCCGTGTTCTCCAGATCAACCCCGCCGACGCCTCCTTGGCTTTTTCTTGAGCTCCTCGTCTTTTTTCCTTGGCAGCTCTCGGAGTGTGTGACAACCAGCTAGCATACCCGAACCAATACAAACTTCCCCAGCCATTGAGTCATACTCAAAACAGATCGGTATTTGTGGTCGATCTTCCAAACCATGCAAAATAATTTCCCTATCCTGGGATTCCATGCAATTGGTTGTCCATCAACTAATCTTGATCCGTGTTAAACGCCAGTTTATTCATAGGGGCGGTGTTCTCTTCAGCGATGAATCCCCATTAAACCCAGGGACTACCTCGCTCCACAAACGCTTCGCACCTGGAGGCTACCTGGAAGATCAGCTGATCCTAAAGGAAACCCGAATTCCTACGGCTGCTACGGGAGGGAGCGTACTCCGCCGACCCCGCCTAGGAGCGTGCGAAGGCGGGGCGGTGCCGAGGGCTTGCTGCCGGGCCCTATCTACTCTTCTTAATTGGTTTCGAAGTTGCCGCTTGGCACCCTCCGAGCCTTTTCTTCTATAAATTGCAACGGTTCCGATGATGCGCTACGCCATACGCACACAAATTGCCCAAACACTGGGGGGGGGGGGGTCGGCGCACACGGCGAAAGAGCCAATCCTATTGATGGTCACCCAGAAGGCCCGGAGCCTCCGAATCGAAGGAATCAGAGCTTCGAAGTCTGCAAATGAACCGGGGAAGAGAAACAAACGAGAAAACGAATCGACACCAAACAAAGAAGCGCATAAACAAAGGACGAAAAGAACGAAATGAGACAAACGAGAAATAAACCAAACGAGAAAGACACAAAGCAACAAAGACACCAAGAGACCAATACATCAAGAAACAAAGAGCAACATAAACAAACAAGCAATCAAACAAACAAATCAAAGCAAGCACGAATACTGAATATACAAACACGACAAACACGGCCAACACAAAACGAAACAAACAGAACATACAAGCCAGCAAGCAAACAAACGCGAAAATACACAAGACGGGGTTTATGGCTGGACTGTGTACGAGGAAAAGCAGCATGCCGCTTTGGCCAAAATACTGCAGCCTTCTGCAGGTGCGGCATTTCCTACCTGAGGCTAAAATGCCTGACTTCTGGTGAACATGTCTTCGAACATCGCAGACCTATTTTGTTCATTTTGCTTGGGCCTGGCGGGTCACACTTCCAGTTCTGTGAAATGAGCATCGATTTCAAGCAACACTGATGTGATCAAGCCACGTAGTTGTCACTCAACCCCGGACATGGCTGTGCACGCGGAGGACACACTTCTGGTGAACTGGCACAGCACTGCCAAGAATATACTGAAGGAGGCTGCGGGTTTTTCAGAAAAACTCTTGGACCAAACCGCAAGCAAGCACTTCTGAGGCCTGGACTTTGCCTGCGTAATTGCTTGGAGTCAAGGGAATTCACACCATGCTGAGCAAGAGGAACAGCTACACCAGGGTGAATTAGATAGCACAGTTGGGCGTAGCCATGTTCACCCAACTAAAACGAACCTGTGGATGGACGCAATCCTGCACCACCTAAGAATGCATGGAATGATGATTCCCCTGCAAATTCCAACAAACAAGGGTTTCAACCACGGTTTCCACCTGGTGCGACGACCGGGGCCATGGCTTGTTCGCTGCCTCCGTCTGCGCATTCACCTAGAAGGGACGACAGGTTAAAACTGATCGATACAAACCGGACTCGGGAAGAAGGCTTGTGCGTCTGCCGGGCGTTTGAAACACCTACGGCCATGTTCTAGGAATATGTCTTCCTGAGCTTTGCGGAAATATCTGCACATTGACAAAGTACACAGCTGACGGCAGGGGCCAGCCCCACGTACATCCCAAACTTGAAGCCGGTTCAGCCATGTTTACATGAGGTCGCACACTTTGCCTTGTTTTCCCCCGAAAGGATATGGGAGCATTTTCGTGAATCGCATTTCTGCAGGACCTTTCTTCGTGAGCCGCTCCAAGGGTCGGATCGAGACGGCCATGAGCTCCGAGAGACTTGATTCCAATGGCCACGCAACACTTCATAAGATGTCGTGGCGACTTTTGGAGGGCGCACCCCTCTTCTGGTTTTTCAGGACACCAGAAGGAACACCACGATTCTTGTTGTTGTTGTTTCTTTTCTTGGGGGGGGGAGGTGCACTGAAACGCAACACACCCATTGCCCGAAAGCCTCCAAGGCAAACGTTCCTTCCTTCCTTCCTTCCTTCCTTCCTTCCTTCCTTCCTTCCTTCCTTCCACAAAGTGTGTATGAAGCCCAACGTGAAGCAAGTCCTGGCTGAAAGGCTTATCACTTTGCACACCAGAGTCATAATCAAAACCTGGCACCAAAATCGTGAACCCACAACCATGTAAGGAGTTGCCAAGGCGGCTGCACCCATTTTCTGGTTGGGACTGTCCCTTTCTAACCATCCCAGGAATTCAGACTTGCGTCAGGGTGTCTGTGCTGTTCATGGTTGGCCCTTTTCGGCCTACGCAGCATGGGCAAACCAATCTCCACACAAATTGGGGATCAATGGGCCTCTCCCATGGTCACCGCTTTGGGCTCCCTCCCCAGCCTAAAAGCCTAAAAGCCCTTCGTTTCATTTCGCGCCTTCAGGAACACCGCGAAAGGGTCCGAAGTCGCCTTGTCCTTCACGGCGTTGGCAGCATCCTCGGCCCAGGGCCGGGAGCTGAGAGATTGAGAACTGGGCTGCCGAAGTCCTCAGACCCCCCGCTCAAAGTGAACAACTTTTAGTGGGTGAAATTCGGATACTACCACGAAGCACTAAAAGGTTAAAAAGCTCAGAAACCGGAGGGCTGGGCTTGCCACCAAGAGAACGGACCAAAAGATGTGCCGGGTTCCCCAATTTGTGCCCAGTCTCAGACTGCAAGCAGCTGCAAGCAAGTTGGACTTCAGAGTATGGAGTTCACCAAACGACTGAAGCTTTTCGATCAGGAACTGAGACCTTGACCTAAATCCACACAAAGTGTCCCTGATTTTGGTCCCACCCTTGTCACATGGAACCTGACATTCTTTTGTGGGTCCTGGTTTGGACCGGTTTCCTTTGAAAGGGACCGGGTCCCGAACGTCAGGTTCAAGGTCAATTGATGGGAGGTTTTATGTCTGTTTTTTTTGGGTGGGAGCATTCTTAGGGCCTTTCTGACTTTCACTTGTGCTGGTAGAGGGACACTAGAAGGCCTTTCTAAAGACCAACGGAATGGAACGATTCGGGCACGAACCTGTTTTGGGGGATTTGTTCAGACTTAAACAAGGAACTCGGGGCATGATCCAATCGAATTTCCCTGACCCCTCTTGTCAGACTCGTGTTCTGTTTTGGGACCTTTTTACGGATGCTGAAAAGTCGTGGTCTCAGGCGACCGGTCAGCTTTATGTTGAGCTAAGGAGCAGACATTCAATGGGATAACATGGGAGTTAATTTCAATAAAGGACCCTTTGCTCGACATTATTTAGGTGGGGATTCATGTCCACCAATCACTTTTGACTAGGTCCTCCAGTAGAGAGGCTAGAATAATAGAGGTACCAACTGTTTTCTGCATTTTATTTTAGTAGGGTCCCCAACCCTCCCCCCAAAGAAGAAACGGTAAAAGGGCACTGGGGGACCTGGTTGAGGTGGTTCCCACAAGAATCATGGCCATCTGTCTGCCTTCGTGGCTTCCGGCTGAGCTCCAAGCAACGGCCGCTTCAAAGGTCTTCCTCGCGACTTCGGGGTCTCCGCTAGGAGAAATTCGGGGGGCGGGGGTGTTGGGGGGGGGCGGGCGGGTGGGGGGGGTGTTGGGTGTCATGTTGTTGGTACTGGATAAAGCTCCAGTTGCCCATTTCTTTGTTGGGTGCCTTGTTGTCTATGCGGATTACCATACAGAATCGTCAAATCTCTGTGTGTACCTGAGCAGGTACATGTGTGTGTGCGTGTGTTGTATGAATGTACAAGTGCATGCGTATTTGTATGAGGAAGCCAGCCAGCATTTTGGGGGCTCCCCTATTTTGGGACAACCCCATATTTGCTCAGAGACACAAGCATTCATTAGCGCGCATTCGTCGCAAATGAACCCAAATGGTACCGTGGTGAATCTGTTGAGATATGCTTTCCAATTGCCAAGCACGGGGATTGAATCTGTTGATTCATGCTGTGGTGGCAAACAGACCGTTCCAGACAGTTTGTGCGTGCCCCTCAAGGACCTGCAAGCCGGGTTCATCCCAAAGAGTAACCAAGCTGTCGGAACACTTGAGATGCCTTTGTATTCGGAGAATGACATCAATTCTAGGATGAAGCTCTTGAGATCTAGATTCAGCCTCTTATGTCCAAATGTGTCTCGCTTCCCCAGGTTGTACATCAGTAGATGACCTCGAGCTACGCGCCCGGAAGCCTGGAGTCGGAAGAGCCTCTGATAAGACGTCTGGTTCGAGTTGCACAGTTTATGGACACAGCTTAGCCAAAGAGTGATCAAATATGTTATTATTACTTTCGGAGGCTTCTGTGGCTAGGTCCTCCAGTAGAGCCTCATACCAACCATGCAAACAAAACAAACCATCATCCCTAACCATCCAAGTCTAGGTTTCCTGGCTGCTTCCTGCCGACCTGCGCCAAAGCGGGGGAGAGGTTAGAGGATGGCCAGTTCTGCCCAGGCGCGAGCGCATCACCTTGGGCAGCGGGTTGCTCGAGAGTTGGGTGGCCTCAGCGAAGCGCTCGGAACAGATCTCGTAGCAACTTGGCTGCTTCAGTGGGAATGAACGTTCATTTTTGTTGTTTTTTTGGGTTTAAGGCAATCCCTGAAAAATTGGCTGGTGGACACAGTTTGCATGTGAATGATCTCTGAACTTTCATTGGGTGCACACATTCAAAAATTGCTGGTGAACAGAATGTCAATTTTCGTTTAAGCAAGCAATCCCTGAAAAAATGGCTGGTGGACACAGTGTGCATGTGAATGATCTCTGAACTTTCATTGGGTGCACACATTCAAAAATTGCTGGTGAACAGAATGTCAATTTTCATTCAAACAAGCAATCCCTGAAAAAATGGCTGGTGGACACATCAAAAATACAATATCCAAAATGGCTGGTGGACATAGTTTCCCGTTGTGAATGATCTCCGCCAAAGGCTCCCAAAGCATCATACCCACATATGTCGGCACAAATGTTCGGTTTGTGGTATACACTGCGAGCATACGCGCTTGCAGCGGCAAGCCGGAGAAATAGAGCTATACACATTATACACCACTCATATGCCCCAGATCATCCTTGGACTCCCCGTGTCCCGAACTACATAGAAGTGAGGATCAGACGAATGAAAACATCATTCACCTCTTACGAGAGTCTTATTCCATGAAGCATTGTTTACTAAGGTTCAGTACCAAGCCTTTGTCGCAAAAACCGCCCGAGTCATAATCAAACCCTGGCATGGACATCTACCCAGAACCATGCCAAGAAACAAGATAGGAGGCTGCACCCGTATGGCCGTGGGTCAACACCAATGGGATCCCATTTTGGGGTAGGTGAATTCACCACCCATTTTAGAACCTGTAGTGGTTGGATTGGTTGACGGTTTCAAATGGGGGCCAACCGATTTGGGTCTTGACCCATGGCCAGATCAGGGTTGGGATTCTCCCTTGCCAATCTTCATTTCTGTAGGCTTCGATTGTGGCTCACCAACGTCCCTTCCATTGGAAGGACGGCTTGGCGTCCCTTTCGACAATTCCAAGAGGGATGTTCCCGATAAATAGACGAAATCCATGTCGCACCACCTTGAAACAATAGGGTAAACCCTATTGTTTGTTGGTATTTACGTTGGGGAATCGAATCATTCCAGGGTTTATTTCTTAGGTGCGAACAGATTTTGCAGCCATCCACAGCACTTTGAGCCATCCCATCCGGAAGTTCCGAAGCTCCCGGCCACCTCCTCCTCGGCTGCCTTGAGATCCAGCGCCGGCTTGCCTCTCCGGACACGGCGGGTGGCCCGGCCATGGCAAAAGCGGCGCGGCTCGGCGGTTCCGAAAAAAGGGATCGGCGGTCTGGAAGGGAGCCGAATCGGCGGTTTGGTTGAGCAGGGGGAAACCCAGGTACCTTTTCCGTTGGGTGTCCCAGGTTGAGCAGAAGGGTTTCTTGGTGGTTGAGCAGTAGAACCAGGGACCTTTTCCGTTCAAATCCCAATCCAAACCAATCCAAACCACCAATTCGAGGGAGGCTGATATGCTTGCGATCGGTTCGATAGGCAGGGAATGAGAATTGGGATCATCCCTATAAACCATCCCCGAGATGGTGTCCTTTCAGGGAATCCCCTTGCGGTTCATTCCAAACACCCGGAAGGTCATTCACAGCTGAGCACCAGCATGACAAGGGGGCACCCCCACCGCCAAAAATGTTCAAGGGGATGATTCATCCGGGGTTAAGATTTTCCGACCGCTGAAACTGGCTGACTGAAGGGCACAGGAAGAAACCTGTTTCAAGCGGTTGATTCACGCGAAGTAACCCAGGAAGGTTTGTCTTTAAAGGTGCGTCCAGCACTGGCAGGTTGACAGCATCAGGCCTTTCCAAACTATGTTGGTTCAGATTCAAATTTTCGTTAGGCTGCTCGTCAAGTCTGAGTCGCTTGAGAGTATCCGTTCATGGACGAGCCTGTCGCTCTTGGGAAAACAGCATGCAAACATGCAAGCACAGAAAGCCAAGCTGTTTGGACGTATTAATACATGTCTTTGGGCAAGAGGAAAAGCAGGCCACGGAAAAGCACATCAATCCAAACGACTCCACGGGGCCGTCTGTGTTTCCAGCATAACTCGTTTTTAGCACTGTGACCTTCCTCAAAACATCCGAAAGTCCGAAAAGCTAAAATAATCAACCCCATTGGCTTACTCGTGGCTATGCGAATCCCATTGGTTTCCGGTTGGAACAGGCAGCATGTGACCCCAACTGTCCGGCCTCCGCGGTGGGTGCGCGGCGACCCTGCCGCGGGCGACATGGGCGAGGGCGGCGGCGCTTGGGCCTCGTCTAGCTCCTGGCAGAGGCGAACAAAAAGCGCTGGTTGAAAGATCATGTAGGTGCCCTTTTCTTGGTTCTAAGTGGAACCACGCGGAAACCAACCACCTGAAAGACTCTCCATGGCTGGGAGCCACACGCAAGGATTTGTTTCTACTGGGCTGGATCCCCCGCTAAAAGTTTAACTTTTAGTGGGTTAACTGGAAATCCAACCACTACACACTAAAAAAGCTAAAAGGCTGAGGGGATGGCTGAGAACCACCAAGAAAATAGGGGTCCCCTTTTTGCATGATTCCAAGTGGAACCACATGGAAACCAACCACCTGAAGGAGTCCCTATTCTGAAGAAACAACCATATGCCAGGAATGCCTTTTGACCTTGGGAAACCTTTTGTGCCGGGCAGCGCACCGAGGATTAGACTGCCGGAACCAAAAGAATGAGCCAAATGCCACGTTGGGTAGTGTCATTAGAATACATTTTGCAGACAACAGCACATGCCCACAAAAATGAAAACACACAAACAAACAAACAAACAAACAAACAAGCAAACAAACAAGCAAGCAAGCAAGCAATCAAACAAACAACCAAGCAAGCAAGCAACCAAACAAACACCAGCAAACCCATAAGCCAGCACAAACAATTTGACCGGGCGAAGGTCCTCGGACCTCTCAGTGACAGCCTCGAGGGCAGCCAAGGTGCGCTCGGAGAGATTCGCGTCCTTGCCCTGAGGTCGCGGCTTCCAGGAAAATTGTCCCGGGAGATGCATAGGCACACAACCAAGGGTGGTTTGGTGACACAAAATGTGGTACGGGCCTGTGAACTATGGTAATCCACTAAGGCGTTGGGATACTGGGATCAATTGGGCAAGGTCCTCCTAAGTTGATTGGATCCAGTTGGGAAGCAAGAACTATTCGCCCGATCCTAGGGCCGACATTGAAATGCGATTTATCGCCAACGGCACCCATGATGAACGGTGCAATGGGTCAAGCCACGACGTATGGCAAGACATTGCTTTAGGATGCTACAAGATCGGAACATCGAATAAACTCAAAACTGAAGATGTGGTATCCTCAATCCGGTGAAACAAAAGGCATGGGTGTGATTCATTCGCTTCAACCTAACTTGCAGAGCTACTCACGGTGTTGGGTGCAGTTTCATCATAGTCGAGTGCATCTCCCTCTAACTGTCCAGATCCCCCGATCCTGCTTCTAGACTTTTCTTGGGGGGGAAGTGTGTGGCCCGGGCAGGTCCAAGCCCTTGATCCAAAGCGCCGTGTGACTTTTCGACCGCTCAGCTGGCCAAAGGTGCAACTTGCCAAGGCGGTGGGGAACAAGAGCTGGCGGTGTCCTGTGCACTGTTCATGTGCTTCTTGGCGTGGCTCCTGTTTCAAGAAATCAAAGAAGGGGTACCCTCACATCCACTGCGACATGTGGAGTGTGACAAGGACTTGGCCCCCATTTGAGCGGCCAATTCATCCAGGTAGAACCACCTACTCCGAACCCCACCCCGATCGGCAGAATCATCGACTAAAATCCCCGAAGGTGGTATTGGGCACTTTGTTTTGAACCATGGCTGATCTACGCCGGCCATATCAAACCTTTGCGGATCGTTTTCGCAGCAAGAGCGCCAAGAAGGTCCAGTGCAAAAGCTTTGCGGAATGGCCTTTATCCGTCAAATAGTCTTGCGGGGCCTTTTCAGGGATAGGCAAAACATGGGTGTGGCTCAAAATCAAAGAGCCAGGGCTACGCAGGTTTTAGTCTTTGGCTCCATTTTCCAAGCCACAGCCATGTGCTTTGAGTGTGACGATTGGCATCCTTTGACTAGCGCCTTCGAAGGAGCTTAGGCCCCCGCGGGATTGTGCAAGTCCGGGCCTTGGGTCGATTCCCATTCTCTTCCCGAGCCAAAGGGCCCTGAAAAAGCAAAAAGGTGAACCTCTTGGTTCCGTGAGAGGTTCAAAAAATTGACCCAAGGGAAACGAAAAGGTGAAAAGGTTTCGGGGTTTGGGCAAGTGAGATTCTCTTCCCTGCCTTTCTCTTCAGAATTCGTTTGTCCAAGCTCCGCCCAGTCGGATCCGATTCGATGTGCTTGGGGGTTCCTCGAAGGCTCCGCTCCGAGGCGCGGCCTTTGTGTAACATCGATGCCCAAACCGGCAGACGATCAGCTGCTGTGGCGGGTGGTGGTTCTCTTGCGATCCTTTGTTTGACTGGGACCAATTCTTACACGGGTTCTCTCCAATTGTTGTTGGTCATAATGCCAGCGTGGCGCTGATTGGCAAAGTATGTCCAATTACATAAGGCAGAGTCATCGGTGCAAGCAAGGCCGTCATTTGTGAAGGGAAGGTACTCATCATGAATGACGTCCAAACAACAAGCAACAACTCGCCTCTGGCTAAACTTGCATTGTAAGAGTTTAATAACTGGCGGTCTTCAAGGTTTTGCATATTGTTCCTCTAACTAGCTTGCCCTGCAACCCGTCACTGAAGATCCTCCCTCCCGGAAGAATGGATCCAATTTTTGGCATCCATTTCGGGGGGGATGCAAATCCTGAAGGTGCACAGTGGCTACACGGGCACCTTGCCCATGGCAATGAGTTCTGGATTCTGGAGGGTGCTGTTGGAGTTTTTTGCTTTTTCTTCGGCAAATCTAGCCTGAAAATGGCGGCCGTAACCCGCTTCGTTTTCGCTGGTGGCTTCGCGTTTACTCTGCAGTGCTTTGTGTACCAAGAGATATGTCCAAAGTCTCCAAAGATGAAAGGTCACCCAAACCCACAGGCCGAGTGGCTTGTGCGACTAGGTTTGCCCACTGCGCCTATCTCATGTTTCGGAACCTGCAGGAATTGACACGCTTGGCACAGGGAACCTCAAGGAGTTTCTTGGAGTCGGCGTCATAAAGTCAAAGGCTTCGTCTCGCGCAGAGGAAAACTGCACTTCGCCGTCCATTGAAGCAATATGTTGAGATACAGCCGTGAGGTACAACAGGGATCCTTACATTATACACCTGAACATTGCCTTGTAAATGGTGGTTTCCCTTTTTTTTGGTGGACAAAAACATGTTCAAATGGACAAATGTATCTTTTAAGGAGCCCTGTACACTGTACAAGTGAGTCAAAATAAAAACCCGGTATTAAGACCATCTGCCCAGAATCATGTAAAGAATTGAAAAGGCGGCACCCATTCATGATTGGCGTTTTGCTGTACTACCCTTCATCTACCCAAGTTCTGATTGTGGCTCATAGTCGTCACACCACCCAAATGCTCCCAAACTCGGCCGTGTCACGCCCGTGTCACCGCCGAGTGGCAGGAGATGGTCGGGCGCAGAAAGGTCCGCACGCGCTCATGGGCCTTCATGCCCACGGACATCCTCGCCGCGAAGCTACAGCGCAGCACCGCATCCCCCGCCCTGATCTGGCCATGGGGTAAAATCCAAATCGGTTAGCCCCCAGTGAACGGGACCCAATGCAACCACTAAAATAGGTTCTAAAATGGGTGGTGAATTCACCTACCCCAAAATGGTACCAGTCTGGCCGAGTTCCTCTTGCAAAGGACCTTCCGTGGGCTGGGTTTGCCCTACACACACACACAAACACACAAACACACAAATACATATATATATATATATACACACAACGACAAAGACAAAGACAAAGACAAAGACAAAGACAAATACGTACGTATGTGCCCATGAGAGCAATGGGGGATACTAGTTGCTCCCTCCAACTAATGGGGGACATTGTGGTCTCGGCGGCTTGGTCTCAACACCCATCACTTTCCCAATCAACCAGTAGACTACTTTGCCAATGGTTGCTTCAGGATGCCTGGGACATCTGCCTGTTGAAGAAAATACGTCCTTTCAAAAGTCCCCTTTGTGCGGGATTTCCAGAAAATGGTTGTGTGTCTTGTATTGAGGGGTACACTTTTTGGGCTGGTTTAAAGTGAGATCAAAGGGAAATCGGCCGAATTGGCGGGGGGGTCTCATGAGACAAAGCGACGCGAAAACTGTCGCGACCTCGACGCCGGCGGCAGCTGCCGGCCGTTCAGGGCGAAAGGCCCATTCGTTGGCCCGCTCCTCGCAAGGAGCTGGAACAGGTGTGAGGATCAGACGAAATTTGGCTGTCCCTTTTTTGGAGGGGTTTAACGTGGAAACCAAGGTCTCTAAAAAAATGACAAACCCATTTGTTGAAGGTAACCTTTTGGGGGTTGAAGGAGGTACCCTGTGTGATTTCTTTGGGGTTGCTGCAAAGGCTTTCAAAAAGGTCCATGAGACAAACCCATGGCTGCACTCAAATCCACCCGTCGGAAACCCAGTTTCCTTCAAGCCGAGAAGGAGCCACAAAAGGCCTTGTTGACAAACCAGTGGGGTAGAGGTCAAGGTGAACCATTCTGAACCCACTGTTATTTGGCGAACCAGCGCCAATATGTAAAAATATGTATTAGGACAGTAAAGGAAATAAGGAATATCAAGGGCAGCTGCACTTCTGGTTGGGATCGTCCCTTACCCTTCATCCCAGGTTGTGATTGTGGCCACACATGTCCAGGTTGAACAAGTCAAACTGCCATCCCCAACGACAAAAAACATATCTAGGGTCATACAACTTGGCAACGCAGTGTCCAACGCTTATGACCCCTAATAGTTGCTAAATCCAACACCCTGGGGAAATTCGCAAGGCCGCGCCTCCATACATATTCTTTCAAGGGGACATTGGAAGGGTCAGATATTCTTCTGTGGTCGGGGGTCGAATCCGAGAAAGCCTTGGAACAGATACTGCAACTGGCATGTAATTAGTTTGGAACAAGGGGGGCCTTCCCTGCTCCCCCGAGCAAGAAAAAAAGGAAATCCTTCTTGGTGTCCCTTTCGAGGTGAAAAGAGAGCTCCCCAACAAACACACACACCCAAGCTCCGCGGTTCAACTTGACGACTCTTTTCGATGGCGAGCCAGGGCCCCCTGCACGGTACCCCCATAGGGGAATGTGCCAGGGCGACTGATGGGCAAACGCGCCGGCCTAAGTGTGATACCCACCCGAGAATTCGCACAGTGAACTCATGCTGCACTTCACACGCTCACGTGGTGCGCAAAATCTCTCTCTCTCTCTCTCTATATATATATATGTATATGTATATACATACATATATATATATATATGTATATATATATATACATATATATATATATATATGTACGCCTGGAGTGCAAACCAGCTCCCAAAAGGACCGCGCGCCGTGGCCAAAAAAAATGGGCGCAGCTCCGCTTCGCCAAGTTGGGGTCGGCTTCCCCGTTTCCTTTGCTGAGCCCGGGCTCAGAATCCCAGCCGATACTTACCCCAAGTGAGCAACTCTCTTCATTGTGCCAGTCCCTATCTTGTCTAGGCCCTCCAGATTTGAGAGGTTAGAATAAGTTGGTACCCACTTTTTTCTCTGTCTATTTCTAGTAGGGGAACCCTCCCCCCCAAAAAAGGGTTAAGGGGCACTACTGGGGGACCCAACATAGCATCATGAACACATTGAAGAGTTGCCACGCGTGCAAGCATTGTTGATCACAGTGACAATGAGAGATACCGCACACTCCGAGAAAAAAAGAAAGTCACAGTGAGATATAGAACTTACAGAACAATACGAAATCGCTGCTTAACGTCTTCCAGCTTGAGCCCGGAGTTTGCTCTGGTGGGGCTTACTCATTTGTTTGCCGGAGGTGTTGCCTTGAAATCCCTCCCAGACAATCAGGTGCCCTTTGAGTTGGTGCGTTGGATTGGTGGCTTGGGGATTTGAAGCCCTGGCTCTTGTAGGTACGTACATTGGCAACCACGCCACCACCGATTGCACGGAAGCTGAGACGAGGGTGGCTGCTTTTTGGTTGTTCTAAAGGGAAAACCGCCAGGAAAACCACTTGTTGCGGGAGGGGGGAAACCCCTAAAACAAGATAAACCGAATTTCTTGAAGGTCACCTTTTGGGGGTTGATGAGACCCCACACCCAGCTGAGGTCTGGGCAATTGGCCCTGCATGCCGCCGATGAGCCCCGGGAAGGTGCTCCCGACACCGATCTGCGCGAAACAAAAATCCGCCATCGGAGCGCTCCAGAAAGCCTCGCTATGCCACGAACTTCTGGGCTCGCTTGCAAAATCTGCTCCCCTGCGAAAAGTGACTAGCTTGTAGTGGTCTAATACGGAAAACCAATGAGTTGGCAAAAAGTTAAAGTCCTAACAGCCAAGCAAAATGCACCAAAGTAGGGGTTGATTCCTTTTCCAACACTGTTTGTTGATAGGTGACAAAGAATACATTAGCAGTATGTAGAACTTGTATTGCTTTGAGAGTGGGAGGGCATGAACAAAAGACCCATTCGGCCATTTTCCCTGGGTGTCCGGAGGTTTTCTAGAAAGATTCGGATCCCTGGAATGAATGGGGAAGGTACCCCTAGAACTAACTCAAACAAGCGCAAGCGGGTTGGTCAATCAGCTTCCCACGTGGTGGTGTGGGACTGGGTTCCATTTTTATCCTTAAACAAAAAGAGCGCCTGCACCCGTTCAAATCCTCAAACCACCAACCAAAACCACCAACTGCTTGCTGGTTTAATAAGCAGGGAATGAGAAATGGAATGACCTGCATAAACCATCCAACTGGCGGTTTCCATTATTCGGCCCGGACTCGGTAATTTCCTGAGCAGCAGCAAGCTACGACTGACAAAGCACTGTGGTGTCGCAAAACAAGAAAACAAAATGGGGATTTGTCTTGGGGGTAGACTCCACTGAACAACTGGAAGTCCCCTTGAAATTATCGAGATCCTGGTCCAGGCTTCAGCCAATGTTGTTGGACCCTGGCAAGCGATGGAATTTTAGATCAGTCACTAGGGGTCCAACATTGAGAACTACGGTCTTTTTGCCACCAGCCAGAAGTGGAGGGAGTGCGAATGGAAAACATGTGCGAGTAGCGCATACGCTATAAACCAGTGTGGGGAGGAGGGGCCGTCTCAAAAATGGGCCGGGCCCCATCCACTCCAGCGCCTCCTTGTTGGTCTTCGCCAGGCAGGAGATCGTCAGAAACTCGATGAAGTCTTGCAGTGCCAAATCTGGCCAGGTTGAGAACATGTCAGCGATATGAAGCGACAAGAAATCGGCAGATTACAAGCATCTTGCCGTATTTCTGCATAGCAGTTCCTGAGACACAAGTGAAACAAGGCAAGTATGTAGAAGGCTTGAAGATGATAGGATTTGTTGGTAAACACGCCAAATCCTGCAATGAGCTCATCCAGTTCCCCTTTGCAGGGTTCCTGGATAGCTCAAGGCGACTTCTGGTTCAAGCCGATGGACCGGGGTGCTTCGAGGTGAGCCTGAGTTGTGCGCCAGAACTCGATGTGGGTTGGCGAGCTTTCCAAGCGTCGCAATGCGCCGCATCGATCCAAGATCAAGTCCGAGCCGGATTGGGGTTCAAATACTCGACGAACGGAAGGGGGCTGAGGTCGAGTTCGAGTTGCCCAATTGTGCGAGATCAATGTCAAGCTCAGCGGGCATGACTTTTGGGGCGGCTCTTCGAGCAAATCCATAAGCTGCCCCTAAACCAAGCTCGACATCCTTTTGCGAACCCAACCGTTCTGCCGGCAGCACGGGTTGTGCCAGACGTGATGCCTCGGGGCGGCCCACACCGGGCCGAGTGCGTCTGGAGAGGTGCCAGATGTTTCTGGAACGGTGTGCAATGACCGTTGAGGCTCAACGGCAAGAAGCCAAAAAACATGAAAAGAGCGGCTTGAAAACAATCGTGTAACAATGGTACCTGGCAAAGGCTTCGCCTACAAGTGGCTCTATGTCAGGTCCGATGTTGGCATTTGGATTTGGATGTATACAATTTAATCCCACTCCAAGAATGGCGAGCTTGCGAAGAAACCCTGGCCCCGTAGACCCCCTACCTTGCAAAACGACACATCAAGGGTGCACTTCGTGTGCCCCGAACTTTTCACGTGGACGCACAAAGTTTTGACACGTGGACCCGTTCAGCGCACGGCGGGTTGGCGACTCCGCACCGAGCGCCCCACTGACAAAGGTGCGCTTGAGATTGTCGTCCGGGGCATCCTCGGCCCAGGGCTCGCCAGCCAGGCGCGACCGAAACAACGAGAACCCGTGCTGGTCAGAGGAACCCCCTAGAATAGATATACGTTCCTGTGGATTTGAAGCACACCTCAGAGAACTTATAGCAAATGGAGAGTGTTAATTCTTGCGCGCAGGTTCATCCCGATTGGGCACAACGAGGCCCGGAGGCTTTTTGTGGCTGCGGAGGAATGCCCATGATCGGAATCTCGAAAGTTGGCTAAAATCTTCAACTAGGTCCTCCAGTAGAGAGGATAGAATAAGGGTACCCTTTTTTCTGTAGTCTAGTTTAGCAGGGGAACCTCCCCAAAAAGACGGGTAAAAGGGCGCTACTGGGGGACCTAGCCAAAGCCGCTGTGCTCCAACACCTGTCGCTTCTCCGAACAAATGCCTCAAAGCATCGAACACCCAGGGGGCGCAACGGTGTGAGAAGTCTGGATTGCTTAATGTCAGCCAATGCTTCCCGTTTTCCCTCCCGGATTTCCACCAGCACTAAAGGGCCAACAATGTTTGCCCAAAAAACGCACCCCCCACCCCCAGATCAAAACTGTCCCCCCCCCCCCCCCCCGCAGCCCCCAAGCCAAAAACCCTGCCAGAAATAGGGCTTTCCGTTTTGCTTGGCATTCGCTCAGTCTGTCTTACACCCACCAATGCTGCTCAGGCCACTATCAAACCCCTCAAGTTTTCACACAAAAAAGGTGCTTGCCCCAACATGCAATTGTCTTACTAAGTTTGCTTAAGATGTCAAGGTGCTCGAGCTCATGAAAAAAATACCCCCCTTGGAGGCCTGTCAGAAACCCCCAACCCCCCCACGATTAGTCAGGGCTGTTTCGGGCTCAACACCACAAACTGCTGTTGCCATGCGAAGTGCTGTCGCCATTGAAGGGGCCATGAAGGCCGGGAACGAAGAGGTTCTCCAGGTCCCTTCCAGTTCAATTGGCTGAGGTAGGGGACCGAAAGGCTCCAGATTGAGCGGGGTCCTGCAAAAAAAAACACCTCAGTTTTGGGGACGCGTCCAAACCTTGAAGGCGGGGGGGAGGCCTAAACCTAATCAGGGCTAGCCATGAAACCATAGCCTGGGTGTTCCATTGACATGCTATGAACAACCCTGCAACGAACTCACAGGTGCCAAAACCGGGGGGGGGGGGGGTAGTTGAAACATTAAATAAATAAAACATGCGCATGCCATTGCTTGACATGTCTCGGACTGCCGACACGGCTATGGGCCAAAAATGCGTACCCAAAATGGAACCCCGGTAGATGGAACCAAAGACTAAAACCTGCGGTCCCCTGGTGGTTGTATTTTGACCCATACCCACATGTCGCGTTGACGATTCTGACGCGACAACTCCATCCCGCCCAGGCCAAAGCGCGTGTCTGCTGATGCCCATACCCCTCCGCATGAGGCGAAAGAAGGCGGGCTGATCTCGGCGCGCGCGTCAGTTGACACGGGAGAGACCCTTCCCATTGCAAAACACATGGCCTCCATTCGCTGGAGTCTCCTGGGAAAAAAGGGTATGTCATAGTGATAGATTCCCTTTAAAAAGTCCCCTGGAAAACCTGAGCAGATATGTCCAATAGTGATAGATTCCCTTTAAACCCAGGGGAAAAAAGTACTCATGTCAGAAAATGGAAGACGGTGATTCAGAACAATTACCAGGGGAAAAGACCTACTCATAAAAGTATGTCTTTAAAACCAAGGGAACGTCACAAATGCTCATGTCAGAAAATGGAAGACGGAAATTCAACTAACCCCAAAGCGCAAACCACCGCTTTTTCTACATGCGGGAGCTCCCGGAGCTTCAGCCGCTTCAGCCGATTCAGCACACGGATATATTTTTTCGCGGACTGGGCCCCCGAAATGGGGGGGGGGCTTCCTTATCGCACGTGCCCAAGGGACCTAGAAAAATTTCAGCCGATCACCTGTTGGGAGCTCTTTGGAAAAGTGGGCCCAAGGAAAAACCAAAGGGAAAGAAAGGTTGGCTTCGAACAGAGAACATCTAGAGCTCATTTGGGTGGGTCTTTTTTGAGGGTGCCCCTTTTTAAGGGCTGGTTTACTGGGAAACCGACCAGAAACGAAGCTTATTGTTGGCGCCCTGTTTTGCGACGTGTCGCAGCTTCACACGCGCACTTTGCCCTGAAAATCCAGACCTCGCAGCTTTCCCGGCTTCAGGAACTGGAACAATGGAAGGGTCAGGTGTCACTTTTGCAACGAAAACCGCTCAGGTATCAATGGAAGGGTCTGTTACTTTCACAATTCTAGGGGTACCTTCCCCATTCTTTCCAGGAATCCGAATCTTTCTAGAAAACCATCAGAAACCCGGCGGGGAAACGACTGGTTAAAAAAAAAAAAAAACGATGGTTGAAAAGAATGGAAGAGGAATCAAGCCCTGAACCATGAAAACCGAATGTCCAAATCGATCCGGATCTGTCGGCATCCTCAGTCCAGCGCCGATGGCCGCGGTCGCCGCCTGCGGAGCGCACCCGCTTTGTATCTGACCTGGTGTCGTCTGAACCTCGCTTCACGCATACGTACATGGGCCCAGGCAGTTTGTAGAAGAGAAGATATACCCTAAGCCACCAATCCAACCACATAGTCCTGCCAAAATCCCGGTTACCCGTAGAACCAGCCAGCCAGCCAAAGCTTAGCATGAGCAGGTTGCTGTGCATCATTACGTAGTGATGTATATGTAACATACACATACAAAACGCATAGAATATCCCGCGGTGTGTTTGGGTCGTGTGGGTCGGCAATGAACATGAGTGTACATCATACACGTGTCTACACGTAGTACGAATGTGCACACGGCATCTCAATTCACTGGCAGGGAGCAGCAACTATGCTTTTGTTCTTCTACACCCTTTCCTTTCCAGGGACTTCAACGAACTGCTGAAACATGTACTGTCCCTAAGACTCAAGCAGATCGCCTGATGGACAAGGAAGCTTAGCTTGCCTCGGGAAACCCGGAGACACTGGCCAGCGTATTGTGGAGGTTGGTGTTCGGTGCTCTCTGACGTCTTTTTCCCTTGTCCATGAGGAAACTGGGCTGTCCTCAAATCCCCTGCTAAAAGCTTAACTTTTAGTGGGTTAAATGGAAACCCAACCACTAAACCAACTAAAAGTCTAAAAAGCTAAGGAACCGGATGGCCGGAAACCACCAAGGAAAACAAACCATGACATGACGAAGCCAATGCCATCCCGTGGTCCGTCAGCCTCCGGCAAGCCGCGGATGTGATCCTCCACCTATCGGCCGGCCCCGGCCCTTTTCAGAGCCGAGTCGATCTGCTTCAAAACTTCCCAAAACGAGGTTGAACGCAAAAAAAAGAAGTCGTGCGAGAGCAGAAGATGAGTGAAAACCCCTCTGGTTGAGTCCTCGGTTTGGATTTACACCCCCTCGATCTGTTCTCTGCCATCCACAATTGCCTTATGCCGCACATGCCCAAGCAGGAGAGAGCGGCAACTTGAAGCATCGGCGTCCTTCTTTCATTCAAAAGGAAAAGGGGAGAAGTCCAAGAGACGCCCTCACACCAAATCGGTGAAGCTTCCAGCGCTAGCGCCTGGTGCCCGTCGAGACTCGCCCCATGAAAATCGGCCCTCTCCAACCCCAGAAACTCGTCTGGAGGCCGGTCCAAGCCCATTTTGATTACGGCCTGAATAGAAAGGCCAAAGCAAAACAGCGCACTTTTTTTCAGATGGTGCAAACCAAGAAGGGCCACGGTCAAATTGCTTCGTAGATGTCCTTGCCTGGGGGATTCCGCTCCTGAAACTGAAGTGTTCTTCACGTGGATAGACAAGCTTGGTGACTCTGCCGCGGGAAAAGATTAGCGGGGATCCACAAATGGTTGTCCGCTGTTTGAGGTGCAATTCTTGAAAGATATGCCCACACCTTCAACATTGGTTTGACCCCACCAAACCGCCAAGGGTTCTTTGTTGTCCTCCCCGTGACAAGATCCAAAGCGAGTCCTGCTTTACGCTGCGGCAGTCCGGAAAAGGGACGCAAATAGCCATTTCATACCGAGTTGCTTTATGGGTTCCCAACATGACCAACGCCAAGAGGTCAAAAAACTCTATCCCTATTCCCTGGAACCATCTCGAACCCTTAGCAGCGCATTGGCGAACCCATAGCTTCCAGCTGGGGAAAAATATCACCCTCCCCTCCCCAAGTAGAATAATACATATATATATATATATGTATATCAAAGCTGAGCGCTCCAAAAAAAATGGTACTCGCCAATTAACATGGAACCCCAAAGGGGGGTCCAATTCCCAAAAGGAGATTATTTTGCTACACATGTGCTTTTGAGTTCCATGCTAAACTGTAAGAATTGAATTTCCACCCAGAGAATCCTAACAGGTCCTGGCCCGACTATTTGACCACTACAGTCACCCCCAAAGTCGGGAAAAAAGGAAAACAATTGACCTTGACCCCTCACAGAATCAACAGAATTTGGCCCAGCATATGTGACCTTTCCGAAGAATGGATGGTCCTGGTACATGGGGCATAAAACCTGTTTAAACCAGTGGAACCCATCTATTTTGTACCAAGCCAACCGATCAAAAGGACACATATAGACCTTCAAACGGGACCCAGGCCGTATATTCCAGTTTCTGACTTCGACCCTTCAACGGGTTAAAGGGACACCACAAATTCCAGCTTCTGACTTTGACCCCGATCATAGACTCCTTGTTTTGGGCCAAACAATCAAAGTCACCTAACTGACAAGTTGGACTGGAACTGCCCCCCCCCTTCCCTGCCCCCTTCCCCCTCCTCCCCTGCCCCGCCCCCCAATTTCTGACTTTTGATACTCCCCTAGGTCCTCCAGTAAAGAGGTTAAGTTGGTACCAACTTTTTCTGCAGTCTAGTTTAGTAGGGGAACCCTCCCAACCAAAAGAGAAACGGTAAGAAAGGGCACCCAGCTGGGGGACCCAAAATCCCCCCCCCCCTTCCCCCCCGCTTCCCCCAGACCCCCCCCCCCTTCCCTTCCCCCCCCCTTCCCCCCCCCTTCCCCCCGTCTTTCCCCCTTCCCCCCCCCAATGTCTGACCTTGATACTCCCAATCGGCAAAATCCTTTGCCCCCCCGCAAAGGAGTCCAATGTCCGTTCTGCGCCTGGCTCGGCTTCAGCCCCAGGCGCCGCAAGGCCAGACGCACCGCGCGGCCCACCTCAAGCGGCACCCGCGAAAGGCTCGACGTCGAGTTGGTGTCATGGCTGGGAGGGAGCGGGGGAACCCTGTTTCAGCCTGATTCATGGCTTATTTGGGTTACCCCCCCTCCTCCAGTCAAGAGGGGGGGGGAGGGAAGGGGTCCTTGAGGAAACTGATCTTGGGTCCCACTGGCGCCTTCTGTTTGTGGGAGGATGGGTACCCGTTTCAAGAGGATTGAAATCTCGAGTTGGTACCCTTTGTAAAGCTTGCCCCCGAAATTTGGTTGCGACAAAGGGGACATCGCGTATTTGGAGGTGCAAATCCCTAGTTTCAGACATACCATGCATGTGCTAACCATGCTGGTCCATAGTCAGCGAACCTTCAAGTGAATGCCTGAAAGTGATCCGACAGAAGAAACAAACCCAATTGATGAGAGCCGGCACCCTGGGGTCACGTAGCAAACCAGAAGCCGAGCTCTGATTGAAACGGAGTCGTCCCCTGACTTCCCACCAGGCAGTCGACTTGCAGGAATGTTCACTGGAGTTATTCTCAGGACTGAGTTCAACCAGTTCTTCCTTCGCCCAGATTTCTGCATGTCTACCCTGCCTCGGAAAACCAACTGAGATGACCTGAGACACGTCTAAAGCCACCTGATAGCCGCAGAACCCACCTGAAAAAGCTCCAAATTCACCTGCCATCTGAAACCTTCTGAAGCTCTCGACATCACCTCCAACCACCTGACACCTACCTTTTGAAGCCACCTCGACAAAACCACCGGCCCGCCTCGCTCATCACCTGACCAGCTGGCCGCAAAGAGAAGGATGCAGCCAACGTTCAGATGTGGAAACTGACCCTTTCTGTGACATTAAAGTGGGCCAATGAGAACTTTTGACGATTTTTGAAGAGGATGGCATGGGATGGCAATCCTATCACCGAAAATGGCCCCACCCGATTTCCAACAACCATGGTTCGGATTGTTTCAGATGTTTCTGGTTTTGCGTCTTCTGTTTCAATGAATTCCAAACACCAAAGGCTGGACTTGGGAGCCCAGCGTCGCGCACGTCCCACGTCTAAGTGGCTTGGGTGGCTCCAGTGCAGTCAATCCCAGGCCGACAGTTTGGGCCCCAATTGTTTGGCTGAGGAAGCTCCGGTCATTCCAAACGAACTTGCTGGTTCTCAGGTTAGGTTTGGGGTTCGGGGAATACGAGGCATCCTGAAAAAGCCTTTTTAGCAAACCTCCAGGCATGGTGTAAGTTTCGGGGCCATTGTTCTCATTTCCCGAGAAGCAGCAAGGCAAGGCTGAATGTTGCAGGCCAAGCTGACCGGGAAACGGCCAAACAGCGGTTGATTTAGACGACCAATCTTGTAGAGGACAGGAAGGTGTTCTTAAAGATGATTCCAGTCTTCCAAAACCCCTCCGTCCACTTGAATTGTATCGTGAACCCCGAATTCATAAACCCGCAGCTGACAAATAGGCGGGCTGTCCCTTTTTGGTGGGAATCCTTCACTTTTGTGCGTGACAGCCTGGAAAAAAAAAGGGAGATGGACCGATCTCCGTCCACTGTTGTGTTGGTAACTCCCTAGCTGGCTGGAAAAAGTCCGGGGGTGGCTTTGGCTGGCTGCGGGGCTCGCTCGATTCAGCTGGGGGGCCGCTGGCCTGGTCGATGGGCCGATTGTCCCGGAGCTTCCCCTGGGACACAAAGTCCAGCCACTCCTGCCGATGGCTGTCGTCTGGGAAAACCTATTTGAGCATCGGTGTCCAAATAGAACCCATCTGAAGGGCCTCTATTTTAAACCAAACTAACCTAGAAAGGACACCTATATATGTATTTGGGTGTCTCAAAACAGGTGACCCGGGTTTCCTTTTGCTTGCCCTTTAAACCCCCCACCCCAAAAAGGGTCCCCTATTTTGAGACACACCCAAATCCACCCCAAAGAGAATCAAAACGGTGGGTATCTGCGCTCACTGCTCTCATGCCATTAGCTAATTCTGTTTCATCACTTGAATCTCCCAGTGCCTTCCGTGCGCTAAGCATTCTTTCCACATGCGGCGGACGGACACCTGCAGTGCCAGCGCATTATTATTTTTTGCGCGGCGCATGCGAGCCAGGCCGGCGGTGCCACAAAACTTGGCTGGAACTAGGACCCCAGCCAAAAAATAGATGGTTTGCCTGGTTAGTGGAAAACAAAGGGGACCCAAAAAAGGCAACAAATAAGAAGGGGAACTAATTCTGGAGAAGATAAACCACAGCTTTATTGCAACCAGCCTTCCGAAGCAAAGCGGCGGCGGGGTCCAGATGTTGTATTTTGAAGACTGTGGCTAGGCCCAGAGCCCCGGAGGCCTTATCAAGGGACCTGAGATGGAAGGAGTCAGGTGAGCGATCTGTAAGGTGGAGGTGACCTTGACATAATCTGTGATCTGTTGGGTGACGGCCACTGCACACACATTGCTCTTTGGTGCAGCTTGCCTGTCTTCACGAAGTTCCTTGGAACGCTGAGAGGTCGATGTTCATATGACTCATAAGTCGTCACGTGCTGAGTCAGATTCGAAGCGCCAACCCATGCCTTTTAAGAGCAGGATCACGTGGCCTGGGAGTGCCTGCGTTGGATTCTTCATTTGATGCCGTGGTCTGGCATAAGGAGTATAAGTCTGTGGGGCTTGCATGTGATGTTCTCCCTTTCAGATTGGGAGAAACGAAATGACAGGGCGAACAGTTGTCTGAAGCATGTACATGCGGGATTGTCGCCAAGCTCGCAGCCAACATGTTTCCCTTCACCACGGATTTGGCCTCGATCTCCAGCTTTCAGCCACAAACTTGCCAGCTACAGTTGCACAAGGCTGCTGACCCGCGCAACGCAGAGAATTGCAGGGGTTGCAAACCCCACCTATTTAGCCTTTGATGAAGGGCATGTTCTCCTGGGACACATGGCGCAAATCAAGAACAACTCAAGCCTCCTCAACATGTCTTGCCTCGGCTCGCACATGACAGTGGCATATTTGCACTTTCTATCGTGGGAGCACCCAACCAAGTGACGCAGTACGGGAAGCCAGGCACTCTCTAACAAACATAGACCGTGGAATAGCTCTGCGCCTTTTTTTGGTGGCAAAGTCTACCAAAAACTGAGATTCGCTGGAATGCCCCTTTCATTTCCTCCATCTTGGCCGTGAGTCCTTCGGGCTCTCGGCTTGCACCTCCCTACGACGGTGCCGTATGCTCTTGGGTAGCCCAAGCAGCCAAGGAATGCTTATCAAACAGGCATTTCAACCAGTACTCAGATAGCACGCACGTTTCCGCGGTTCTGGTGGCAGATTTGCCGTGCCGCCTGGCGTAGCCGCCAGTGTCCTACTGCTCAGAGGCGTTGCGGCAAGTCGGGATGGCAGGAAAGCACCTACTTGACTTCCGGTGCTCCCTTTGGCTTTGTTCCCTTGAAAACCACTACCGGTTGGAACCAAGCAAAATCCGCTGACCAAATCAAGTTGACCCAACCCCGGGCGGTCATGCCAGTCGACCACCTGGTCGCCGTTCTGATCCAGGGCTGTGTAGAAGTCCCTGCGCGCTCGCAAAAACCCCGAAATCCGAACTCAAGGGCGGTTTGGGCACGCGGCTGTTCAAGTTGTGTTCATCTTGAGGAGAAACCCAAAGGGTGCGGGGGCACCGAACAAGCAGGCGGGATTGGACAATTGATATGAGTCAATAAAGACGCCTGTGGCTTCACTCTAAGGCAATAGACACTCAGGTCAATAGGGGCAATAAAGGTGCTTCTCAAAGGGCACCCCCGGGAAATGGTGTATTTCCTTGCTTCCTTGTCAAACCATCCAAAAATGGGTCCGCCATTTTGAGAAACACAACATAGAACATATGGCGATATGCTGTACACGAAGGAAACGCCCTGTCAACGTTTTGCTCACAGATTCAACATAACCAAAATGGAAAGGTCCCTCCGCTCGATCTGATTAGCACTGATCGCTGGGCGATCGATCCGGCAGAAGCCGGCATGCGGCTTTGGGTAACTCCAAACCTCCTAGCCTCATAGCCTCTCACACAGGGGTTCCTTCAAGGGTACCTGCTTTAGAGATCCTCGGACTAGTAATCTTTCAACTAACAACTAGTATCGTTTACATTTAACCCCCTACTCAAAATACCCGCTTTTTTCAGGGTATGGTAAAGACCTGCTTTTTTAGTAGAGGGTCATACCCTGAGAAAAGAGGGTATTTTGGAGTAGGGGCAAGCTCAAACCCCTTTAAATTCACAGAGCTCTCGCGTGTCCGGCCTGAGCTCGACTCTGGAGATGGTCCTGTCGGCCTCAAGGAACTCATCCAGTGGATTTCCCATGAGAAGAAAACGGCGCCCGGGTTGCTGAACAAAGACACCAGGCATCACAGGGCTGGGGGAAATTCAGACATGGGGGTTGATCAAAAGGTCCGATGAACATGAGATGACCATTGGGAAAGACCAACAAACATGATCATGCCCCTACCTTGGGGGCCCTAAATGGAATACTGATCAACCCCCAAATGAATTGCAACACCTCTCAATGTCGACCCTGCAATGTGTCATTTACAAACACCGGGCTGAATTGATGACGCCTATTTGGCAGGGCGTTACTCGGCTCGTTAATTGAATTGAGGGCTCTTTGCGGAGAAAAAACGTCTGGTGCGTCCCCTGTGCAGGGTTTCACAAAAAGGTTCAGTGATACTTTTCTGGTAAAGATTCTCAATCATATATCTAGCAGCAACATCTTTTTTCTGAGCAATGGGACGCACTTCGTGCCGAAGGAAGTGATATCGCTTCGATGCTGCCTTGCCATGGCAATTTCCGGATTGCGTATTCAGCTGTGTGTCAGGAATCGCGTCCAAAAAAGCCTCAAAAAGTATCATGATGCTTGACCATCCGCCCATCTTCAAACATCACTAGATTGAAGGCTGTAAGCTTTCCGAGCCATCAACCTGCCCTCCCCAAGATCTTCCCCAGCAAAGCAAGCAAAAAAGCAACTCCTACTGTCCGGAAGCGAGATTGCACTTTGTCGATGCCACGTCCAAAAACTTGAGGCAAACCAGGTCAACTGGGACAAGGTGAACGTCAACTGGCAGCCTTCCAACAAACAAAATGAGATGTTTATATATATATATATACATAGATATACCTTTTGTTGTTTTTGGAAAGAAAACAACTGTGTGTGTGTTTGTATATAAAGGTTTTATTTTTTAAATACAACTCCAATGAACGGAAACGTCTCTCCGTCAGATTCGCGCCGTGCGCCCGAGCGATCTTCAGATCGCTGCGCACCACCTCGGTGATCTCCTGGAAGTCCCTGAGACACCAAAGGCATCTCCGCTTGGAGAAGCGCCCGATTTCACCCACCGACTTTCGGTTTTGACGACACTGTCATTAAAGGTTGACTTTTGGGTTTTGCAGCATGGTGGGGTTTTGGCCGCTGCTCGTTTGGTGATTCGGATTCGTGGTTTGGAGCTCAGGAGGTGATTTATCTTTAACCACCAAGAACTTGCCTGAAAACACAAAGATGCTGGCTGTCGAAGTAAGCTAAAGCTAAAGGGAAGGCTTGATCAAATACCAACCGGCTATGTCAATTGAAGTTTGCTCCTAGTCCCCCATGTTTGGCTTCCCAGTGATCAGTTCCACGACACGGCGTGCCGCAGCGTGTGCTAGTCTGGGCTAAGAAGCCTTCGGTACGCAGCGTAAAAAAAACAGCGTCCGAGGCTGATTGATGTGAGGCACCTTCCATGGAATTTAGAAATGACCTCTGCCATCGAAACTGACTTGATCCTGCTCTCCGGGTGGAATTTTGGTTCCTGCACCTTGGCCAATCGATTCAACTAGATCCTCCAGTAGTTTGAGGTTAGAAGAAGTTGGTACCAACTTTTTGTCAGTTTTGTCTATTTTGGTAGAGGAACCCTCCCCCAAAAAAGAAGCGGTAAAAGGGCACGATCCTGGGGGCCCTAGTCAATAAATCAAGCAACCTCTGAGGCTCCCCGCAGGTTTCCCGAGCTGTCCAGGTCGTACCTCAAGGTAATCGAAAGACCCAGCTGTCCACTCGTCGTTCGGCGGCGCCAAAAAAACAGAATGGAACTCCTAAAACATGGCACCTGGGTAAATGGAACCAAAGACTTACCGGTACCCAACAGGCTACGCAAAAAAAAGAAGGAAAAATTCCTAAAACATGGCAGGGGAGATGGAACCAAAGACTTAACATGGTTTGCCTTTTCGACCGAAATGAACCGCCTCCCTTGAAAAGGGTTTCTACACTACCCGGGGGGCGGCTTATTTCTCCCACAAACAGTGGAAAAGGCAAACCATGAAGACTTACCGGTAGCCTCCAACAATCATGAAATCTGACAGGGGAGAGTTGGAAGACTGCTTTCCTCTTGAGGAACCCCCCTGTCCACTTTCATGATTGTTGGACAGAGGCTACCCTCTTTCCCAACATAGCAACTGTGGGTGGGAGGCACCTGGAAGACCACAAAACCGCGTGTCCCGGGCCAGGTTAGCGGCAAAACAAAACAACACACTCAGACTGATTCGATTGATAGAAACTCGCAGATGTTAAAGCAATTCCCCGGACTCCATCTGTGTGCCCTTGTCCCAAGTGGCCGAGCAAGCGGAAAGTTCTCATCGGCTCGTTGATCACCAGGCGAATCAAGCCCCAGTTGATGTGAAAACGTCCGTATCCCAGGAAACCACAATGCAAGTCACATTCCCTAAGCCTCAGATAGCTGTGGGTCAAAACCAATGATACCATGTTGGGGTAGGTGCACCACCCATTTTGGCCTATTTTAGTGGGGATTGGGATGTTCAGTGGGGGTACGGGAATTTGACCCATGGCCAGATGTCAATTCGTCTCACTGAATTGGTCGAACTGGGGGGATCCCTCATCACAAGGCAAACACAATCTGGCATAAGGATTAAGGATTGACAGAGGATGGATTAAGGATTGATTGTGACCTCAAAGGTGACTTTTCTGGGCTGCCCTCAGATCCCCAGCTCAAAGTGACTCACTTTTAGTGGGTGAAATTCGGAGACTACCACTAAACACTAAAAGGATCTAAAAAGCTCAGGAACCGGATGGCTGGGCTTGCCACCAAGTTTTGGGCTGGGTTGCACGTCGCTCCGAATCTGGGCTAGAGGCTTGTCGAAGATGCCCCGCCAGAACTTCATCTGACAGGATTCGCAGATGCCCCACTCGAAGCGGCCCGGAGCTGGGGCTCCGGGGCTCTCAGGTGAAGCGGGTCTGACCACATGGTTAGCTGAAGCGACTGGGTATGATTTTTGGAGGGGCCCTGTGCACATCATCTAGATGGGGATTTATGTCCATCAAACTTGGGAACCAGAGACAGGCGTGTCCTTCACATCATATCACATCTTCTTTCTGAAGGATATCCGACCGGGTTGGCTCTGTTTGCATCTGTTTGCGTTACATTCAGCGCGGCTCGGCTCGGGCCTCCTGCTCCTTGTCGCGCTTCACAATGACGCCGGGCCTGAGAGCTCTTTCCAGATGGAGCAGGGAGCACGGAAGGAATCACCCTCAACACCTCGCATGCAAATAAGAAACTATGGGTTGGAACTTGCGGGTGCGTCTCAAAATAGAACCCCCCCCCAAAAAAAATGGTCAGCTTTATTTGGCTTTAAACCAACCCCAACATGTTACCCTCGAAAACAAGACCGGTCGCCGCTTCGGTCGTTTGGGACAGCATCGAGCATTATAGCCAATCAGGGACTGCTTTGCTTCCCCATCGCGGCAAAGTTTCTTCCTCATGGTCCATCAGATCATTGGAGGCCGTCTCGAAAACTTCTTTGGTGCGTGCAAAGCGGTTTGGAGGTGGCTTTGTGGATCCACCCCTCTAGAATATTAAAAGAGTACGAAAAGATTTGCTGAAAAAGGAGGAACAGGAGGAAGAACTGGTAAAATTCACAAAAAGCGCATCCAAATCGTTTCACGACCTGGGGTTGTCTCTAAATCAGATCAGGCTTCTCTAAACGCAGGGAATCAGGAAGGCACAGAGATTCGGGGAGAACCCCCCCCCCCAGGGGTCTTAGGCTTCGGAGAAACCCCTGGAGGGAGGCCCAAATTTGTCAAGCGGCTCCTTGCCCTCGGCCAGCAGCTGCTGCCGGATCTTCGCGCTTCTGCGCCGCCGGTGGAAATGCGAAAACCCTGTTGGCGCGCCCGACAGCTCCGATTTTTGTTTGACGCACGGGGCTGGCTGGATTGAAGAACCATCAAGGGCTCAACCTGCAAATAACTAGGTCCTCCAGTAGAGAGGTTTGAATAAGGGTACCAACTTTTTTTCTGTAGTCTATTTTAGTAGGGGAACCCTCCCAAAGAAAAAGGTAAAAGGGCACTACTGGGGGATCTTGTCAAGGGCGTAAGCTGCAAAGAAGTTGGGGCTGGCTTGTTCCATGAAACACCAACCAACCAGAGCGCCAAAACGTTGGGCTAGCAACCTGCCGACTGATGCAACGAAATTCAAAGGAGCTCTCTTCAAGGTGCTCGGCCCTTGACCCTTTCTGTGGTCAGCGGTTGTCGCAAACAGCTTTAGTTTACTTTGTTTGCAAGTAGCTGGCCTTTGTTTCTTGCATTTTGGGGAACTCTTGGATAAGGAACGCACCTTTGTCCCCGGCGGATTTCTGATTCCGCCCGCGTCGGGTTCCACGGGAATGAATTCAGTGGTTCTTTCCCGCAAGAAATTGCCAGGGCGAAGACGTGCAGACGTACCACCGTAGCAGCCACACCCTGCTTTGAAAGAATCTGTGAGACAAGCCTCGAGAAGGAACTGCCGCTCTCCCGCGTTCGCGTTGTCAAAGTCCAAAGGAAATACTCATTCACTTGCCCAAAAATAAAAGGTTTATCTTTTGGAACCACTCAAAACTCCAAGGCAAACAAAAAGGTCCCCAAGCTCTGCCAAACATGCGCTTTTAGGGCGTTCTGCCTTCCTGAAACCAGCTCCCAAAGTCGACCAAGAGGCCATTGCTTTAACTCCTTCTTGCGCGCCTGCAGTGCGGCACCTGGTCTAGTTCCAAAGTGTTACTTTTCTGCAGCAGATCAAATCCCTGCTGCAGGCATAGTATCTTAGATGCTATGGGATCCCTTTGCTGCGAGCTGTGAGGTGTGATCCTGGCCTTCAGAGGAAACAACCAAAGGAGCGAGGACCTCTGCATTCTTTGGACACCACTTCGAATTCAGGAGCCCTGCTTGTTACAGCTCATCTAGTTAAATCCCGACCTTTTTGTCAATGCAGCCTTGTTGCGGACAGTTTCCTGAAAGTTGGACATGCGAAAATGGACATGTCTGTCTCAGTGCTTCGAATTTATGTAGCCAGAGTTTCTTAGCTCTAGGTTTTACATCAAGGTTTCCTCTAGAGCACTGGGTGCCTGTTTTTGTTTTAACAAAACAAGTTCCATAGCGAGCGAAGGCCATTTTTCTAGTCTTCTCCCCAAACTGGAAACTGTAAAAACAAGAGAAAATCCAGGGGTCAACCCCCTCCTTCCAATTCCTTCCAATTCCATATGAACGGGGATGTCCGAACCTTTGTCACCGTTCCCGTTTCGCCTCACCACGCTCCGCACGCGGGCGACGACGCTGTGCTGCTCATAGTAGTGGCCGCCGGTCTCGGGCCGCTTAAAAGCCGCTAAAGGGTCGAAGGGGGTAGTCGAAACCAACCCCAAAAACGAGTAACAACACACACCCAGGTATGAATCTTAATTGGGCTCCCTTTGGACATACTTCCCCATGTCCACCAAGCATCTTTGCGGTAGACCTGGTGGGGAAATAGAAAGGTCACCCCAAAGGGCAACCGAGCCTTTTGAGGATTGGGAGACCTTGGATGCGAACAAAATCTTTGGCGGGGCCCAACGGAAAGCGCCCAACACGATCCCCCCCCACCTCTTTTTCTTGGTCGACGTTGGGCTTGCGAGCAAAAAATATAAGTTTTAGCTGTTCAGTGGTGGGATTTCCACCACTAAACCACAATAAGATCAAAAATGGGAAAAATGTTTCCCAACGACAACCATGTTTTGGATAAAATCCTTGAGGATCTCCAAGGGACCTGAAAAGGCCCAGTCTCAACAGGCTCTTTGGCCCAAAGCTTCTCATTGCAGTACCATCGATATTTGGCACCGGGTCCCAAGAACAGCCGTTTGAGGTAGACGGGTGAGACCGAGACAGAGCAAATCGTAGAAGATGCATAGGCCAGCAGGATAAGAAACCTATGTGGGATTGTCTTTTTGTGGGTCCCCTGGTCATGCAAAAGGAAAACCGCACAGAAACCGCATCTTTTCCGGGCTCCGGACTGACTTCACGCTCTTGCACGTGCCTCGCTTCCTATACTTGGATTTGCAGAGACATATCTGAGGGCAGCTGCAAGGAAGTTTGTTGGAGCTGGTTGTCTTCCGCAGTATTCCCCCAATTCCCCCCAATTCCGCATGCGAGGCTCAACCCTCTGTAGTGCAAAAGAAACCATGAAGCCAGCCGCTTTGACAAAGCTCGAATCTCGGCCCACCAGTCTGCGGAATATGGGTCTGTCTCTTTTCAGGGACCCCAAAATACTGTTGCCCTATTTGGCGTCCGTTTAAAACCAACCAAAAAAGGTGCCCTCAAAAGACATGCCCATATAACACTTGCCCCCTGTCGCGAGCGTCCAGGCATTCCATGGAGGCTTGCGGTTCTTCTTCTTGCCCTCGAGGCAAGCACTCCGATGAGGCGACTTTAGCTCAAGCGATTGATGTGGGGGGGTGCTCATGCAAATCAAAGGGCGTTTGCTTTCTGCTCCCCTACTAAAGGTCCAACTCTTAGCGGTTGACTGGAAACCCAGTAGTTGGCAGAGAGTTAAAGTCCGAACATCCAAGGAAAATGCACCAAAGGAAGGGCGGTTGATCACTCAGATGGACACTTGACATGTACGTGCGTGGGTTGAACAGAGTCTAGAAGCCTTAAGGAAAAGCTCAGGTTCAAAGGTAGGTTGAACCTTGAAGAGAGCCGAAATAGGAGTGACAGCGACATCGGTAAGAATGACTTGCCTGCTCAGCAGGGAAGACCCTTATGAACCATCCCTTGTGGTTTCCTTTAAGGGGACCCCTGGGAGTTCATTCCCACATTCCCTACTGAGCACCAGCAACATGATTGTCATGAGCCCGCTTGAAAATGAACCCGCACCCGGCAAACCTTGCCCAACTGTTTTCGTAGCACCCGCTCCGGAAGCAGTTCCAACCCTCAGAAGTAAACAAAAATCAGCACAAGAGGCTCTTGACAGCCTTGACCTTCCACTGTAATGTCTTGCAGGCTTGCTCCAAAGATCTAGGGCTGTCCGAAGGCAAGCCCAAGGAAATGGTGGGATTCTGGTGATTTTTACACGTTGGTTGATCTATATTTTACCTGTCCGGCGCCGAAATGATCATGGGTACCTCTTCCCACTTAGTGGTGAAAGTCGTATCATTATTGGTGGTTTCCCTGATGATCAGCCCATGTATCACGGATTTTTTTTTATCAAGCCCCATACGATGGTCGGCTCAGAGCAATCCTGCGCACCTCCATGGTTGATTCAGGCTGATGCACGGTCCATAAACTGGTACAATAGGAGGTGGGAAACCCTATGAACTTGGTTGAAATGTTCAGCCCTATCCCGAAGCAAGAGAAGCAGACTGGGTGAATCCTGTGCCAATTTCCAAATGGAAAGTTGGTGGCTGCAGACTGGCCGCGCCCCAAGTGTTCAACGTATTGCACCTGCTTGGGTTGGGGACAAAGACAGGATGCCTCACAAACTCAAAGAACAACATGAATAAGTCGGATTCAATGAGGGGGCTGCATTCATGCGGAGAAATCATTCAAGACAAATCCCGCGCAATTCAGAAACTGGAAAGTGACTTCCATGCAGCTCCTTCACACCCATCAAACATCATGACCGGGCAATGTGCTGGGACAACATCTGAAAAACCAAAGCGGCTCCTGGTACCTGCACGAAGCATCTTTCGACCTTCTCTTTTCTTTGGTGGTACCACTACCCTGATGTTGAGACTGAAACCATTATGGTATTGGATTAGGAGAATGGGCCACGGCTCAATAGAAACCAGTCCCGGCAGCTGCCCGCCTCATCCACTGCCCAGTAATTCATCCTGGCCGTACTGTTGGGCAGAACACTCTTCGCTCGAGTAAGGTATCAGAGCCTCTTGGGAACATGAATGGTTTCTCAAAAGCGGCCCATGTCCTCAAAAACACACACCTGGTTTCCTTTTGGCATTCCTAAGGACATGCTAACCAACAAGATTGACCAAGGCTCCACGTCCGTTTTCCTCCAGCTCTCAAGGGGAGTCCCTGAAAGGAAATCACCAGTTGGATGGTGTATAGGGGTCATTTTGTTTCTCATTCCCAGATGAGAAGCCGCAAGTTTTAAAGGCGCCCATTGCCACTTGTCTTGGATCCCCAACTGGCAATCCACTCCCCACACTTCCTGGTAGGTGGGTAGGTGCACTGACACTCGCTTGGCGGTGGGTCAAAACCCAGGAAACCCCTAGTGAACATCAAAATAGGTGGTACATGGGTGTTCATCCGCCCCAAAATGGAGGCATAGGCTATGACCCGTGGCAACTTCAGAGTTTTCCTCTGATACTTCATGCCCCACACCATCCCGGCCCGCCTTCGGCCATCCGGCGATTTCAGGCAATGTGCGCTGAAATTGCGGTGCTAGCTGCTCATGTCTGGCCTGTTGCCAATGACTCTTTCCATGCGGTCGTGTCTATGGCTGAGTCCATATGAGGCCCGGGGAGGCTTTGGCGACCCATTGGAGCATGTCCAGATGTCCACAGAATGTGCTCAGTTTGCAGGTCTGTTTCCATGGTGCCATGTCCGGGCAAATATACTACGGGCATTGAACCATGAAGCGACGGGAAAGCAAAGCCTCATACCCCAGCATGTCTTCCTTCTGCAAATGGGTGGCTTCAAGTTGATTGCCCTTTGAAACAACCCCGCAAAGGGTACCTGCACAAGCTTCACACAAATTTGGCCACCAACGAGTTGGACAAACTGATTCTTGCCTGTGCAACGGGCGGCAAGAAGAATTCGTCCGCCCTGCCCAACGTGGCGAATGGCATGTTCGACACAGTGACTCCACAAGCCGCCGCAAAAGCGAGTGAAGCCCTTTTTGGTTGCCCCAAAAAACCGCATTTGTGGCAAACAACCAGATCCAGATCCAAAGGCTCAACGCGCAAATTGTCAGTGCGGGCGCAGCCCAAGTAACCCCGAAAGCAAACACCATTGCAGCAGCCCTTCATTTGGCAGAATTACTGTGCATCTGCTTCAACCTTCCACTCGAAAAACTACCCTTGACAGGAAAGCAACAGGAAGACGCCTGCAACGGGCCTAAACAGGTGAATGAGACCATATCATCCGCCCACCGGAAAGTGAGCGGATCAGGGAGATTGAAAGTCAACAGCACGCACGGCAACACTGGTTGCATCGACGAACAGACTTAGACTTGTACCATATTCAGTTCGTCAAGATCCTGGGATGTCCTCAGATTCCCTGCAAATAGTTTAACGTTCAGTGGGTTACACGGAAAGCCCCACTGAACCCTGAAAACCTAAAAGCCTACGGGGATGGCTGCAACCGCCAAGGATCAAGGTCAACCTGCTGGCCCTTAAGGGGACCGCAGCCCAGGTTCAGTGCACTGGGCCGCGAGCGCCAGGCGTCAGTACCTGCCGAGCTTACACTGCAGCATCTCAAAATGCTGGAGCCTTTGCGAGTTGGTATTGAAAGGGCAGCAAAAAGACTACCTGCACCCAATCTCTTGGAGAAAAACGGGAGAATCTATTCCCTGCGGGGCTGGGCTACAGGTAACACACCGCCTTGTAATCGAGTGCACAAGACAAGGACATTCCTGATGGAAGGCATCCACTTTCCAAGAGCAATACTATGCCGAGTGCTGCCGCGATGTTTGGCCAGAGGGTCCTCATTGTTGGATGTGGGCGTGTCTTAAATTGGGGGGCCCACACATGTGGTTTCCTATATATATTATCAAAAAATGGCAGTGCCTTGCCAATGCCTATTATATATATATATATATATTCATATATATACATTCATATATATATATATATCATATATATTCCTTCGCAGTGCCTGATGAACCTGCCCATTTCCTAACATCCGCTTGCAACCCAAGTTGCTTCAAGGGCTCAAGGACAAGACAGGAGAAAATCAAGCGCAACGGAGAGCAACGAAGCGCCACAAAACGGCCCTCAAGGAAGTAAACTCGGCGAACAAACAATGAACGATCCGAGCGGAATTAAAAATGGCCGCTCCCCGATGCCAACATATCCTATCATACATGGTTCCTCGCAGTTCCATGTGAATCCTTCGAGCAACTTCGTCGGTTGGGCATGCGTGAAAATTAAAATACACCCCCCCAAAAAAAAAAACAAAAAAGAAGGAGAAAACAAAAACGTCTGTTCTCCTCGTTGCCCTCTCACCCTCTCGCCTGCAAAGGGTACCAACTCCCAAAACGCTCAGCTGCTCAACCCGGGCTGCCGGACCCGCAAGAGAGCCAAGGCTTCCGCCGCGTCGTCCAGGATGGTCCCCTTTCGGCTGGGCGTCTTGTTCGAGGCTGCAACGATTTTCGTGACTAGAGGAACGCCAAGAGACGCCATATGAGTATGGGTCAAAAGAAAGCCGCCAGAAAAACCGCAGATGTAGTTGATGTTTCCATTTACCAGAGTTCCATTTTGGGTACCTATTTTTGACCCACACCCATATGTGATGCTTGTCCTGCCACGTCAGGTTGCCCACAAAACTCTGAGTCCAAACTCAATGGGCCGATTTGGCGGAATTCCCCCTGTGTGCGTGCGCGTGTGTGCGATTGTGTGCCCAACGGGTTCTCTCCCCTCTGCCCAGATCTTCACCGCTGTCCCCAACCTCAAGGCTTCTCCTGTTCCACTACCCTTCCTCCCACCAACATAGCATCTGCGGGCCTGGCATACAAAACACACTTGTAATGTGTACGTATCTATATCTGCATATATACATTATATACACATCTCTATATATATATATATGTGTGTACATATGTATATACACATATATATATATATATACACATATGTATATATATATATGTGTTACTCCCCCAGTTTTCCGCCGGGGCGGAGACTTATTCCTCCCCTTCCAAACCCCCCGCGCCCTGCAGCTGAACTCCACCAGGTCGACGCTGTCTGCGGAGATCTGCGCGCTGCGCAGCGCCTGCCGGTGGGGGTCGATCTCACCCGTGGGCAAACGGCCGACGAGCGGCTTCTTAGGCATCCCCGTTTTTTGTTCTTTTCTTTTTTTTCGTAAGGGTTTAAAAAAAATAAAAAAAAAATCTGGGGGTTGCAAACACACCAAGTGGGTGGCTGGAAAGATGTTGCGCCTCCTTTATTCATAGCACCCTCTGTTATAGCGATAAGGGGTGTAAAGAGGGTCTAACAGTAGGCCAGACCCAGACCCCCAGACCACGAATTTGCCTGGAATTCAAGGGCAAACCACCCATTTTGGGCCATTTGGAGAACGATCAACTGGATCAACCAAACATGGCTTGGTGCGACTCCCTTCCCGATCATCTGCAATGGTAAACTCCCTTTCTCCAATTCGTTGTGGTTCATGGGAGGCGCAATTGCCAGGGCCCTGGAGCACACTGAACATCCTACGGCATTCACTGCCGGATGCCCGGATGCCCGACACACGGATCTGTAGTTGAAGCCGCTCCTAGCCTCGTTGCCCCAAGAAGAAAGCCAGAAAATACAGCCGCAGCCTCGAAGAGCCAAAAGACCAACGCACTGAGCGGTGCCCCAGCGTCCGATTGCGACAGGCCAAATCCGCCACCGTAAGTAAGCCAAAACCAAGAGCTCCACATGAGCCGCATATCGAGAGAAGCATACTTCAGCTTCGACAGAACCTGGACCGTTCGACTTCTGAAGGCTTGCATCACCCCGAGCTCCAAATGAGTACCTGGGAGCACTGGGGCCATCCTCGCTCGCACAATCACGTCCGGCACGAAAAAGCACCCAGGCTGGGGCGTGCCGTATCACACTGGGGTCAGTCATCCTCTGCGAGATGATCCGTACGGAAACACTATCCAAGCGCTGCGGGATCACTCACGCGAGCCTTATCTTCCATTTGCTTAAGACCCCCCTCCCCCCCAAAAAGCAAAAATCCAGTGGTGATAAATTCCTTGTAATACCAACAAGGGGAAGAAAACTTCAGCGAATGGCTAAGACTTCTTGACTCATTCAAAGCCGAAAAAGCCAACGACTGCCCCGCTCACCACCTCGTCGGTACTTCGAGGTGCGCTTCCGGGTCATCAGCGACTTCCGACATTTCGGATTCGCCGTTCGAGGTCCCAAAAAGCGAATGTGACGCGCCTCTATCTAATTAGCAAGGCTTTATTGACCCTGGTTTCCCACCAAACGCCTGATACTTTTTCCTGGAGGTCAAGCCCGAATCTAAAGGGCCGACATACCTTCTACGTCTCGCTGGACTCCGGCCTCACCCTCATCTACTCGGGTTTTGAGTGTGGCACGCGACTTTTGCATAACACAAGTATGTTTGTATTAATTTGAATGTAGCATGAGAACGAGCCAAGTGCGTGTCCCGGAATATGAATTCAACAAATGGCTTCGGCGCGTTCTCAATGATCAAAACGTTAAAGGCCATTGCATTCCATGCGCGACATTCAAACACAAACAAGGCCCTTGTCATTCCACATATTGAAAACATGTCAATTATGTAAACAAACTCTCAACTATGCAGGCATGTCACCAGTGTGCAATTGCTTGATGGTCAAGGGCTCATACGTGTGAAGCATTTCCCACAAGGGTGAATGATTAGCGCCCAATCCCAGGACCTTCTTGGTACTAGAAGACGGTTCGCACGATTTTGGCTCAACTGCCAATGACCAATGAGAACAATGAATCAGAGCTTTGCCACTGGCGGATATGCTTAGAAATTCGAGAGCGGGTGCATGCTGTTGATAGACGTGGATGCAGGTGGATACTGGTGAGCTCCGTCTTGGCACGAATGTTTTTCTTACGGGGTGCCATGACGAGGGAGCAATGTCTTGGATCTTTTGAAGTAAGAAGTTGGTTTGACTTCGAGCTGGCCCGAAGTAAGGTGGGACAATTATTGGCTCACAATTGCAGGGCCCATATGTGTACAGAATCACATAGCTACTTCCAAGAAATGGGGGTTGATCAATATTCTGTTCGGCCCCCAAATGACCATGGCTAACTTTCCCCATGTGGTGAAAGTCGTGTCTTTTGGGGGTGGTTCCCCGAATGGTCACCCAAATTGTTTTCGGATCTTTTGATCAACTTTCATAAGAAGAAAGGCGAGAAGTTGATCAACCCCCACGTTTCCCGAATGGTTATCTTCCATTTGGTTAAGACCCCTGGAGAAAAAAAAGAGAGACAATGTCCAGTAGTGAAATCGATTCCCTTCAAACCCACAGCGGAAAATACAACATATTCATTGCAGCAGATGGAAGTGATTCCATGGTTTTTACTGACCTTTTGATCCGACTCTAGGGGATATTCATTGCAGCAAATGGAAGTGATTCCATGGTTTTTTACGGACCTTTTGAACTCTGGCCTCTGCCACCAGCTCCTGCTCCGATGAGGAGCTCGGCGCGCTGAGGCTGGCGAAGGCGGGCGGGGCCGGACCCGGCGGTCCGGACCCGGCGGTCCGGACCCGGCCCCGGAGCTACTCAAGTCGTAGGTCAAAGGGAAACAAACCCCACAAAAAAAAGAAACAACATCACGACAGACATGTTTTGTGTTTTTGTTCCCATCAAATGGTATAAACAAACCACACGGAAACAGAAAACCACCAAAATCATGACAGACATCATCATGTGAGTTTACCATCAAGTGGTAGGATACAAGAACACACACGCACACACAGAAACAGACAACATCATGGCAAATCCCGTGAATGATTGTTGTACATGTGATTCGTTCCACATCGATCCTAAGGGAACCCGCACACAACACAGATGGACCTCTGGAAAGCATGAGACATGCGAAGCTTCAAGCTCTGCCTTTCCACAGAGAACACACGCTTGTCAATGACAAATTCTTCACCGCTGGAGCGAAACCTTCGTTCCCACAGCCCTGACCCCAGCTAGTAAGGGCTGCCTCCTCTTTACCAAAAGGGAAAACCGAATTGAAAGAGCCAGCACCTCCCAACAATTTGGGACTGTCATCTGGATCGTCCTATCCCCTCGGATAGAGTTGTTCATGCACCTGTAGGGCAAGTAATGAATGAGAACTGGTGCTGAGTTCCAATCACTAGGTTGTCTGTTTTTGCCGGGACAAGACCTGTGGAAGCACAAAGGAACGGCACGAACTTGTGGCCTCGGTATCTGTCAAATTGGTTCTCTGCTTAAGGCTTCATGAGGGTACCACTATCCATCTCTCATTGGAATCCGTACGGGTCCCCTAAATTCCGTCAATCACACACACTTCCAGCATGGGGTTTTCGGCGTGTAAAAGCCAAAGCCAAAAGAGCTCCAAGATGAAACCAATGCAAAACATGAAATCATATCCACCAAATCAAGCAATGCCAAATCAAGGTCAAACGCCAACGCTACAATATGCTACAATGCAATATCCAAGCGGGCAAGTGCTTCAAATCCGGTCATCCGGCCTTGCCGTTTGCCCGAGGTGCTGCAAGGAGACGGCCTCCAGAAATCCCTGGCGAGAAGTTGAGGCATGCCACACAACCCCGAAAATGGTTTGTGATTGTATACCCTCACTAAAAGCACAAAACTTGAGGAAATGGGTTGAAGCACTTGCGGAATGGGTTGAAACTGGGGTGCTTCTTTCTCCAGTATGGATACAAATTGGCAATACCGAAAACGGGTGCTTAGAAACTGGGATAGTGCCCAAAAGCTTGTTCCAGCAACAAGAGTACGTCTCACCAATCAGGCATGTGGCAAAGCTGGGTACGTGCAATGCCACTAGCCGTGAACAGGAACAAGCGAATAAAAGGCGCTGTCATAGGCACAACGAAGCAAAGAGTCGAAGATCATTCACTCTATGCACCGGATAACGCGCCTGCTGTGGATTAATCAACCTGGTGGAGTAAAGAGGTGCTTCTCCTAAAGGTCCGCACAACTGGTCACCGCCCTGCTTCGCACGCTCAAGTCTCTCGGTGGCGCGCTCGATCGCCAATTTGGGTTGGCTACGCCATGGAAATATGAATAAATGAAAGGTGTCTTACTCCGGTGAACATGGCATCGTTTCAGCACGACCATTGCAACTTGAGCCAAGTTAAAGCTCCAAGGTAGGCAAGGGAGTCGGAGTGCCCGATCCCACCCAACTCGCGTCACCCGTAGTGGCAAACACACAAACGAACGCACGAATGAACGAACATCTTGCTGGTTCTCAGCGGGGAATAAGTTGGAATGACCCTAATAAAAACATCCTCTATGATTTCCTTTAAGGAATCCCCTTCCGGTTCATTCCCAACACTCGGTCTCGGTCATTCCCTACCCATCGCACCAGCAAGACAAACAAGCAAGCAAGCAAGCAAGCAAGCAAGCAAGCAAGCAAGCAAGCAAGCAAGCAAGCAAGCAAACAAACAATCAACACGAACAAAACAACCAACCAACCAACCAACCAACCAACCAAACAAACAAACAAACAAACAAACAAACAAACAAACAAACAAACAAACAAACAGACAGACAAACAGACAGACAGACAGACAGACAGACAAACTGACACAAAGAGGCAAGCAAAGGGCGACACAATAGAAAAATGAACAAAACACCGAGAACTTGAGCAAACCAGCGCACCGCTTGCAGTCAACTTTGGCCAGGCCTCAGGGTCGGCACCGTCGCCTGTTGCCTCCCTCCTGAAAAATTGCATGACGAGGAAACGGATCTTCTGGCTGACAAAAACGGCTGCTCACAACGGCCACAATAGTTGGTCCACTAAACTGAATAAGCAAAAATTAGTAAATGTTTTCCAACGACAACTCGGTTGCATTCTGCTTCCCTCCTAAAAGTGACTAACGTTTAGTGGTTCAATGGAAAACCCATTGGTTGGCAAAAAGTTGTTCAGTCCTAACATCCCTTGGCAAAATGCACCAAGGACTCTAAGGAATTTCCTATTACACCCTGGCAGTACACCCAAATAGAACTTACCCCAAACCGTCCCAAATACACCAAAACTAACCCAGTGCTTTTATCTGGAAGAGGCTACAATAGGGTGATTCCCCAGAAACCGTAATCCTGGCGTGTTGTAGGAAAACCCTTGGAAGGATGGGCAAAAAAACTTTCAGTGAAGTGTTTGGATTTTCACCACTAAACCGCAACAAGCAAAAATGTAACAACAGCCAGAAATGCTCACAATAGCCACAAAAATTTGTGATCCCAGCAACACCATCTTGACCGGGGTCGGAGCTCTTCCATCGGCTCCTCAGCACCGCCGCGGCCGTGGCCTCCCCCGGCACCAGCCCCGCTGCGCCGGCGTCGAAGGTGAAGCACCGCCTGCCAGGCGGAACCGAACGAATGGGGGGCCCCGGGGGCACCAGATTGGCTTTTGGTACATGCCATCGGACTTCCTGGGCACATGGCACCAATCTGCATTTTGGGCGCATCGAGTTCATGGGCACATGGGGGAAAAAAAGAGAAGCGATTGCATCCCTTGACTTGAATGGCTCGAATCAGGCAAAAACGCTGGGCACAGTTGATGTCTTGGAAAGATGGCTTGTTGGTTGGTACGGGCAGTCTCGCCAATTCTGCAAGCTGAAAGCAAGCAGCCAGGTGGAACCAAAGTTTGATCTAACTAATAGCTCCTGGATGTTGACTCTAAAATTTCGATCACGACAATGACTGGTTCGGATCTGATGCATATGTCCAGTACCCACACTTTTCTTTTCCCTGCGTGCCTCCCAAATCCCTTGCAAGTCCGCAAGACGCAGGCAATGCCCCTTGAGAATGGCTCTGCCCCTCCTCAAAACCGCTTCCCCTACACAACCATCTTCGCATCTGAATTCGGCCACCTCACATTGGCTGTGGCTCAAAAAACCGGCACAAAAATGGAACCCTGGTAAGTGGAACCCTGGTAAGTGGAAACATGGACCAAAAACCTGCGGTTTGCCCCTCCGATCGTTTAATTTTGAGCCACACCCATTTCCATTTTGGTCACTGGTGCCCTTGCCGCGCCACGCCCCCCACATCTCATGCCGCATGCCGCACCTCGAATCCACGAGGTGCGGCATGCGAACATCCGCTTCATTCGAGGTGCGGCATGCGAACATCCGCTTCAAGGAGGCCATCAATTAAGCCCAGAGCTCGCCTCAAAACTATATAAAAAAAATACCAGCCCTGCCCATCATCAATTCACATGACTCCAACTGGTCTTGTTAGATAGTTTGATAACACTGGCTTTGTTAGATATTATGTTGGACAAAACTGGTGTTTTGTTGGATTGTTTTTGGATCAGATTTGTCCTGCTAGATTGTTTTGGACAAAACGGGTGTATTGTTAGATGATTTTTGTGATAGAACTTGTCCTGTTAGATTGTTTGTTGTTAGATTATGTTTGATAAAAATGGTGGGGTTCCTTGTCTTCACAGGCCTGGGTCCCCAAACGCCCGAAGAGTCCCCGGAACTGCTCCGTCCCTTTCCCCCGCGCCCGGAGGGCGACAGGAGATTCGCCGCCTGCGGCTGGGGGGCGGGGGGAGGGGGGAGCTGCAGCTGGGGCCGATTTTTCCGATTTTTCCTTTCTTTTAGAACGGGGTTGACGATGATTTAGAAGAAGTTGACCAATCTCATCCCTGACAGCCTGACAGGAGCCGTGATCGTCTCCCTCGGTTTTGCGCCGGGCTGTGTGTTTCAATCAAGTTGCCCATGTTGGATCCTGACCGCTCCTTATAGCGACGTATGTGGGCCACTCATGTTTGATTGCCTTTGTTTCCCTTGGGCAACTCATCCAGTGAAGTCTAGCATTGACTCATCCAAAGTAACATCTCCAAGGCAATTGCGGCAATATCCTTCCAATGTGAATGCCAGGTGTGGCATTCATGTGAACGGCAATGGGGTGTCCAGTAATTGGGGGGACCGAGACAGTCGTGCCAAGCATTTTTTTTAGTAACGCCCTGCACTAAATCAGGTGTACTCCATTTCCCTTTGCGGACCTTCCAAAAGTGGCGATCGTTTCAATGGACACCAAGAGCAAGATGATGACCCCCAAAATTATTCGCAAGACATATGATGACAAAAGTTCTATAGTACGGAGATGTTCGGTTCATGGCAATGTTTGTTAGTGTGGATGAGGTTGGGCTGCTTAGCTCGATTTGGATCGGAACCTTACATTTGGATCCGCTCGGTGCATTTAATGGTGTCAAACTGACAAACAATTCCCAAACGTAATACCATGCAGCACCCAGTCGTGCAGCGCAAAAATGGCTTCTTCCTTCCTTGAAGCAGCTGCTGCTCGCGCAGCTGTGTGCAGCTTTCCCAAGCACTCAAAAGAGTTGTGATGGACTCCACCCGAGGAGGAGACACTCACACACACACGCACATACACACGCTTGTACCGAATCTAGCATCGAGGATATGGAACCAAGCACACTGGGCCAAAAGCTAAGCTCTGGCACTTTTGGACCTTTTAGCCCCATTCCTTTCCTGGGTGTCACACACCCTCCCACTTTGCTCCGTGCCCTCGTGCATGTAGAGGGCCCTTCTTCAACTAAACAACGCCAATTGGGTCCAAGCACCCTGGCACTTAGCCAGACGCAGAAACGCAACATGTGGTCCTCTTGAAATAGAATCGCGCCTAGGAAGCCAGTCCAAATATGTTGATTTTAAAGGTGTGTGTGTGTCATTGGGTTGCTTGAGTCCGATCAAGCTTTTACTCCCAAAGACAAACAAGAAACCCAAATGGAATCCCCTGGAAGACCATGTTCTGCAGACATGGGCCTCTTTCAGATTCCAGGCACGTTTTTTTGAGGGATTATCGTGTTGCACTCTTCGGAACCCTTCTGGAACGAACCCTTCTAGAACGAACCCTTCTAGAAGGAACCACTCTTCTAGAAGGAACCCTTCTAGAAGGAACCCTTCTGGTTGGATAAATTCTTAAGTTGATGACCACCGCTACCAACCACTTTGAGCAAAATGCATGGCTTCCCGTCTGCCTGCCTGTTTCGCTGCCCACCGCTTCGCTGAAAGCATCACCGAGGTACCGATGCAGCAGCAGAACTGGTCGTGTGACGAGCAGGGTTGGTTTAAACATGTTGTTGATTCTCAAAATAGGTTCACCCTGTAGATAGGCGGAGTTCCTTGCTTTTCCCTTTTGGCACGGGTGCGATTTCAATAGCAGTGCCTTCGGTGAACATCGTAGGATTCACTTTTTGAGGTGGTTCCACCTCTTAGAATTTCTTGCCACACGCATCGACTAGTTTAAACAGCCTCCTGTTGGTTACCCTTTAGAAGGTTGGCATCAGTTGTTTAAATCCCTGCCTACGAGGGAGATGGCTGAACTGCTGGGAAAGCATAAAGAAAAAAACCTGAGCCGTCCATCTAGCACAAAGACTAGAAGTCAGGCAGGGGTGTGCCTGGGAGTGGTTGAGCTATGGTGTTTTGGATTGATGAAGCACGCCAGACCTGGTGCAGGCTGGCCGCTTTCAAGGCCCTGGCCGCACGCAGGATGAGTCATAAATGTCATGAGAATTTGACCGACTCGTGCCACTTCAAAAACCCACGTCTTTACTTGACGCAACATGTTCCCAACATATTGGGAGGTTCTTTGTCATGGCAGATCACAGAGACCTTGGTTCAATGTCCAAGCGATCAACAAACAAAACGTCATGTATGATTAGTTCATACTTACAACAGCTCAGCACCATTCGCCCTGTATGGGATCCAAAGGCAGAGCCACCTTTACCGAAGAGCGCGTGATGGATTGGCCCGTGATTGCGCGGTTGCTTTCTGCTCCCCTGCTAAAAGTTAAACTTTTAGTGTTTCAATGGAAACCCCATGAGTTGGCAAAAAGTTCAAGTCCCAACATCCAAACACCATGCACCAAAGATTAGACTACAGACTGCAAGGCTCGCTGAGAGGAACTGGAAAATCTGCGGGTGGGCTGATCAAACGCGAGTCGAGCCACGGTAGGCGTGTGAAGCTAGAGGCTTCAAGTACTTCGTCTTGTCGTATGGACCCAACTGGGTGATTTGCTTTGCGTTTCCCTTCCAAACAAAAAGATGGGTCCTCCATTTTGAGACACTTCTTGTGGCTTGGGGAATCAAATCCCCAAACCACTAATTCAGGTTTGCCTGAAAAAGACGGGCCTGGCAAAACCACCAATGCGGCGCCCTCTACGAATCCGGTCGGACTAATCCCCCGCCTCTGGTACGGAGCCGTCCCTGCGCAGCGCACGCCACCCTTTTAGGTATGTGCCGAAATGAAGAAACTGGACCGAGGCTTCAAGAGATTTCAATACTTCGCTCCACAAGGTGATTGCCAGACCAGAAAAACAACAATGATTTATCCTATCCATCCGTTTGAAGCAAAGCAATGGCTCTTGACATCGGAATATGGAGCGAAAGGGTCTTTGATTTCATCTGGGACAGCCTTGCAATGACATTACATTTATGCACCCAGTGACAATCGGAGTCGTTCCCACGTACCTGCTGGTATTTTGCTGCAGGCGAATCTTTACCGACACCTAATTTGCTTCCCTTCCACCCTGGTTTAATGGGAAGTTTATGTTTAGACACATTGATGTCTATCTATTGGAGCTCGTCCCTCCGCGCGGCTCAAAGTTGCGCGAACCATCTTTGAACAACTAGTTGAAAAAACATCCTTTTCAAAATTGGTTGTGGCCCGTTTAGTTTCGTCAACGCCGAATTTCCGCAACATTGGCAAAGCACACATCATTCGGCCATGACTTCATGTGGCATTCACATGCCCCACAACAATAATTCACCAAAAGTTAAATTGCACTGTTACATGGGTTGTCCTCAGATTCCCTGCCAAAAGTTTAACTTTTAGTGGGTTAAAGTGAAACCCCCACTAACCCAATTCAAAACCTAAAAACCTAAGAGGACGGACGGCTGGGAACCGCCAAGTTGAGTCTGATCATTTATGCCCCCACTGCCAAGTACCAAGTAAGTGGCAAAGACTGGGGCCCTGGCAATAGGGCCTCAGCAAGGCCCAACCATCACGCATCGGACTCAAAAGACTCAAACAAACGGGGAAAGCTGGCTTCGTTGTCCCCATCTTTGTCCTACGCGTGGAATTTCTCCTGCTTTTTGCCCACTGGGTATGTATCAAAATGGGGGACCCAGAAAAGTTGCGATTTGCCGTTCCTCTCAGCCTAATAGGAAACTCAGCTTCAAGCAATGTATGCAACACCGCAAACTCAGTGAGTCGGCGGAAGTCTGCAGTTGTCGAATTCTTTGGAAGAGACTCTCCAGAAACTGTCCTTCATCATGGGCAGGCCCCGTTCACCCTCGGGTGTCAGTACTCAGTACACAATTCGTGCAGAACATGCCAGCGCAGCCTTTTGCACGGCAGAGCCCTTGATATGTCACAAATCAACAGATGGAAGGCGAGCCCCTCCAATGATGTTCTTGCTTTGATGCGACGTCCCCGTCTCAAGGCTCAAGATTCGCCATGGTTCCCACATCGCCCGGGGGACGAGCTCCGCAAGTGGGCCCTTTGGGATTCGGTCCGATGGTCCATACCCCTTATGGGGGTTCAAGAGTCCTCCGACTGGATCAGACTCACGGAAAGACAAACCTCCGCGCTTCTCCATTTGCTAAGCCGTGCTCCTAAGTTCATTCGGGACGCCCCAACTGCCGACCTGCTGGCTCCCAAATGCCAAGACTCGGGCCTTCGCGCCGAAATGCACCTCAAAAGGTCGAGGTCTGCGCAACACCCAGGTCTGCTCATGATTGCTGCCAAAATGAGGTTCTTGGTGTGCGTGTGTGTGTGTGTGTATATATATATATATTATACATATATATATATATACGTGCGCAAAAGCTTGTGCATGCTAGTCGTCGGGGAGCAAGTCTTTGCTTAGCACATCGTTGCTATCGCCTGCACTGCCTTCGACTGAACAAAGACCACTGGCCATTGCTCGATCCCCTCCACAGGTGTGGCGGGTTGGGTTCCGCCCCGATTCGTTCCGAGACAAACCGCATCTCTTGGCTGGAACTAGGACCCCAGCAAAAAAAATGTTTTTGCCTGGTTGGTGGAAAACAAAGGGAACCCCCAAGAAAGCCCCCCCAAAAAAAAGGAGAGAGAGAGAGAGAGGGAAAAGGGGGGAACTAATTCTGGGGAAGATCTAGCCCATTTCTTTCAGGCGTGCACAAGAAGCCAGCGAAACCCCACACAAACTCGGACAGACACAACCAAACCCAACCAAACCCTTCGGCCCTTCACCCGAGCCTTCAAACAAAACCCTTCAACCAAGCCCCACCAAACCCAAACCTAACCCAACACGTCAACCGCCTGCTTTCAAGAAGCATGCTGCGTGTTGCCAAATCTCGAGGCCAAAGCCCATGAAGTTCAGCCAACTCCCAATACAATACAACCGAGTTCAAAGCCCCTCGACCAAACCCAGCCAACCCTACCAAGGACAGCCAAATCCAACATGACCCAACGTCAACCAAACCCAACCAAACCCAACCAAACCAAACCAAACCCAACCAAACCCTCTAACCAAACCCAGCCAAATCCAACGTAACCCAAAGCCCACACAAGCCAAACTCAGAACGAACCCAACCAAATCCAAAACCAGACCATCCAGATTCAGCCGAACCCGACCAAACCCGACCAAACCCTCTTAACCAAGCCCAGCAAAATCCAACACAACCCAAAACCCAACCAGCCAACTTCAGCCAAACTCAGCCAATTCCAACAAAACACCCAAAACCAAACCAACAAATTCAGCCAAACTCAGCAAATCCAACACAACCCAAGAACCCAACCAGCCAACTTCAGCCAAACTCAGCCAATTCCAACAAAACACCCAAAACCAAACCAACAAATTCAGCCAAACTCAGCAAATCCAACACAACCCAAGAACCCAACCAGCCAACTTCAGCCAAACTCAGCCAATTCCAACAAAACACCCAAAACCAAACCAACAAATTCAGCCAAACTCAGCAAATCCAACACAACCCAAGAACCCAACCAGCCAAGTTCAGCCAAACTTGGCCAAATCCAACCAAACCCTCCAACCAAACCCAGCCAAATCCAACACAACCCAAGCCCCACCCAAGCCCAGCTCTCCCTTGCCACTTGCGGCCCAGTCACTGCAGTGAGGCCGCTGCAGTCCCCAGTGTCCAGAGCCACGGCAGGGCCCTGGCCACGGAAACCAGAAGCGGATTCTCGCAGAAGCTTTCCGCGCCCGATTCTCGGCATTCCATGGCTTGCGGTTCTTCTTCTTGCATGCAAATCGAAGGGCGGTCGCGAAATCTGCTCCCCTGCGAAAAGTGACGAACTTTTAGTGGTTTAATACGGAAAACCCCTCAGTTGCAAAAAGTTACAAAGTCCTAACATCCCTTGGCAAAATGCGCCAAAGGATTCTAGGGAATTTCCTATTACACCCCCAGGGAACTTACCCCAAATCGTCCCAAATAAACCAAAACTAACCCAGTGCTTTTATCTGGAAGAGGCTACAATAGGGTGATTCCCCAGAGGGCGTAATGCGTGTAATAGGAAAAGCCTTGGAAGGATGGACAGAATCCGTTTCAGAACCTAAGAAACCGCTGGAGGGATGTGGTCTTGAGCTCGGGGAGCCGCAACGGGCGCAAGCTATCGTCAAGAACCCGTCGGCTGAGGTGTTTTGTTCATCCTTTCTTGCTGGCGCGATAGGCAGGGAATGAGAATTTGAATGAACTCAGGGGTCCCCTTAAAGACCACCAGTTGGATGGTTTATCTGGATCATTCCCTCATTCCCTGCTGAGCACCAGAAAGATGATGACGTTCAGAAAAGAATCCAACCTCAAATGACAAAATCGGCACCACCCAAGAGACCCTGGAATGATGATTCCCAGTAAATACCAACAAACCGCGGTTTCAACCATGGTTTCAAAGTGGTGCGAACCGATTTTTGTCCATCCACAGTATGTTTGGGCGGAAAAATATAACATGCAAACACGCGGACGTGCGAAGAAGCACGGTTGACCATGCAAACTGCCCGCAACTCGGAGCAATGACGAGCAGAAGAGTTCTACACCGCCCCCTGGGCTGCTGCGCCAGTTTTTGGAAGTACTCAGCTCTGTTCCTGACTCGTGGCACATCGATTGCGACTCGAATTGAAGACAGCCCAACAAAACCGACACAATTGTAGCAGAACATCCATGGCAGATTCTTGGCTTAGGTTTGGTTCAAGCAAACCATGTCTTTTTGGAAGGAAACTAATCTTGAAAGCTATTTCAACGGCTAATTTGGAGTATCCCCTTTTGATTGGAGCCAAGTCATGTCTCAGTGAACCCTGTTCAAAACATTCGGGGTTGTGTCGAAAACCAGGAACTCCGTTCTAGTGTTGGCCAGCCGTTCACTACATAGAGCGCCACTAGAAAACAAACAAACAAATCCAAACAAACAAAGAAACAGACAAAACCGGACTAGACCCAACCAAACCCAATCCAAACCCAAAATTCGTCGTGAGAGCTCCAGCGCGTTGGGCGCCTTGAGGCCCAACACGAAGCTGATGCGCCCCGCCAGGATGGAGGAGGCCATGCCCGTGGCGGTGAAACCTCCGTCACTCGCATTGGATCGCTCCGAGTCATTCAAGGCAGGTAGGAAGCGGGAAATCGGACTTCTTAGCTGCCCGTTTTCTGATCCCCCGCTAAAAGTGACTAACTTTTGGTGTGGTAAATGGAAACTACCACTACACACTAAAAGGCTAGAAAGCTAAGGGATAGCTGGGAGCCACCAGGTTGGGTGTCCTTTTCAGCCAAACTGGGAAATCGGAGATTCTGACCCTCAGATTTCGGCCCGGGAAAATACCAAGTCCCAAACAAACCAAAAATAAATTCCCGGGTGGGACGTCGGATTTTCCCAGCCTGATGTCGTAGGCCACAGCCGGGGACTAGTGCTGCGGAATAGATTGGCGTGTGTATCTCGCGAGGACTACACAGGGACGTTGCCCCAAATAGTCCCAAACAAACCAAAACTAACCAAGTACTGTTATCTAGAAATAGGCTAAAATAGGGTGATTCCCCACCGGGCGTACAGGGTGTAATAAAATACGCTTGGAATGGTAAAAGATGAACTTAGCTACCCTCCCTCCAACAATCATGGAAGCTGACAGGAGGGGCTTGGAAACCCACCTGTCCACTTCCATGATTGTTGGAAAGAGGGTAAGGGTTAAGTCCTGTTTGAGATTCAAATCAGAGGGTCGAGCTATGCTTAGAGACGGGAAACCCCCAGGGTTTTTGACACTTCCAGGCGCGCAACAAGACGCTGGCCCACGCCACCTTTGGTTCGCACTCCTAAGCGACTCTCTTGACCAACACTTTTGAGAGACGCTCTGCCTCACGATTGGTTGACCACTTCTGAGTCTCACTTCCAAGCAACGCTCTTGACTGCTCCAGGCGAACAACATGTTGACGCCCGCGTTTGACCCACCCGAAATCCGCAGGGAGTCGCAAAAACAGCACGCAAACAATATCAAACAATAGCACAAGCATTCAAAGTCGAAGGTGGACCCGCATTGCAAATGTCGACTTCCGACAAAACTAGCATCTTGCCTGCCATAGCGATGTGCAACACGTAACAATTTAACACACGCATGTGTTGCGCTGCACCTTGCGGAAAAGGCACCAACGCAAAGTACTGCCACAACATCCGGCACTTGTTCAAGCAGAGTACGCGCAACGAACTGAAAGTCATTGGAGCAAGGTACGGCACGGGCAACAAATTTTGACATGTGTGGCTTCGCGCTGCAGGTTTCAAAACCTGAAAAATCAAAACAAATCCTATTGGCGACTACTATTGCCGCGATTTTGAATTGGGGAATTTCTGGAGGAAATCATTTACATGTTTTTGTTTGGTCCAGCAACCACTTGGAAGGGTATTCCCCATGAAGATCCGCGCTTTGGGGCCTTCCAGAAAGGCTAAGCTGCAGGCTGGTAGCAGTTTGCAGTGATGTCCACCTAGACCGACGGTTGGGACGAGTATTGCGTTCACATGCTATAGAATTTGCTGCTGTTGATTGGCTTCTTCTTGCAGCGCACATTTACAGCATAGTCAGTTGAACCGAAGCGTAGCTTCACAAGACATGTCTGGCAGAAATTGTGAGGTGTGCAAAATCAAGAGGTGCGCAATGGTTGCCAATAGATGCTGATGATGTGCTGACATGGATTGGTCGCTGGGTTTGTGTGTCAGGAGCTTTGCTTGAAAATGGATGTCACATCCTTCTGGTGAAAGGAGATGCTTTCATCAGCATGCCGCATGGCTGCCCTCATGGAAACTGGTCACTGCTCTGTGAATGGCACTTGTATAGTGACAAAGGTTGGAGCGGAGAATGTCGTAAAGCAATAGAGGAAGGGTGTGATGCTGCGTGCTTCTGGTTTCTGCGTTTTCATAGATCAATCTTCACAGTGATACTGATCATGCCGGATCAATCGATCGCTTTTAAAAGCAGCGATGCCGACCGAATTCATCATGTTTGGTTTCATCTAGATGTACTTCGCTATACCCTGCTTTTCACATTGTGAAACGATTCCCACCATGTGTTCCTTCCAATAATGAAGCCTACGCAGAAAGCAACATATTAGCCTCCCACAAATACTTTCATGGACGAGCACACAGGACCTTTCAACCTTCGCGTCAGCCGTCCATAGTTCCTCACGCATCTCCAAGCGCCATGCTCGCTACAGTTCTCGGCGCCGACATAGATGCCAGCACCGCACACAGCGCGCCCTCGCCTACGCAAAGCGTCTGCGTGCCCCGTGGATGTCTGGACACTGCAGGTGCAAGCATGTGACTTTGCTCATAGCGTGAAACGTTACATGATGTGTTCATTGACATGCTCAGTCTTTGCATCAAGATTGTAGTGAATTTGCAGGCAAACATCAGCTATCCGGTAGAGGTCTCCTAGGCAAATAGCGCGATGGTTTCTCTCTCGAATAAGTGGCGACCCTGCATCGTGCTGCTCGGAACATCTACATGTAGGGGTGTTTGCAAAATTCACCGGCCTCAATGGCAACTCTCTGAAGGATGCAGCATTGCACATCGAAGGTATAAAGGACAACATGAGCAACTAAAACCAAGAAACACATCGAACACGGGAAGAGGCTTCCAGGGTCTTTGTATCCAGCCACCTGCTAGTCGAGTTGCCTGAAGCCAGCCGCATGCATGGACTCGTACGCCACTTCCAGTGCCTGTCGAGGCAAGCATCTTTGAAGTTCAGGCGTGCTTGCTTGGGTATGTGCGGGGGATAGATACCCCGCTGCAAACAGCAACCTAGTGGAAGGTCCTCTGGTATTTCTCAAAGCAAACACATCCCCTGTTCAACACCGACTTGACAGGAGGTCAAAGATGCTAGCACGGGGCAAACCTTATATGGCCTGGCCCAATGGCAAAATTATCAACATCCACAAGAAATGGCCATGCTGCGGGCAGTTCTTAGTGGACATCACTTGGTGAACAAACTTGACATCTGGGCATTGCTTTCAAGACTGGGCATCGCTGGATGGGCACCGATGACAACAGCCCTGTCTCGGCCAACTGAACCGCTCTCCAAACTCGGCCTCTTCTTCACCGCAAGCCATTCCTTTTAGCTCGGTTTTTGAGTCACAACAAACCTCTCTAAAAACTGGCCTGTTGGAACTCCGTTGGGGCCTAAAACCAGCTAGTCAACACATAGACCCCCCAAACCCAAACCTCCCAACCAGAACCCGAACCCCCGGCCGCGCACCGCCGGCCTGGCGCTGCCGCGGCTCCATGGATTCGGCCTGTGGCGAATCCCACCGAGCCCAAGTCATCGAGCCGGCCGAAACGCGGAGAGGGGCGACGCTTCCAAGTGACATCCTCCATTGGCTTAAGTCCCCTCCGAAAAAATATGTTATTTTATTTTATTTAAAAAAAAAAAAACCTGTAGTGATAGATTCCCTTCAAAAACCAACAGGGGAGAATAAGAAATATGTTTAACCAAATGGAAGACATGGAACCAGGACAGGTGCCTTCCAAAGGAGAAGAGTCCAAACCAGGACCCACAAAAGAACGTCAGAGTCCATTGGGAGAGTGGGGGAAGGGGGGTGAATGCGAGCATGCCCAACCTAAAATGAAGAAAGGAGGTTGAGGAATTCGGCTTCGGAGCCACCTATTGCAAGTAGAGTACAACGTGGTTGGTGGCTGGTGTAATTGCAATATCCGGGTGAATCCACCCTTTGTTGGCTTCCGCTACTCGTGTCTTTCGCAAATGCGTAGGCACAATTGAGTGCCTGACATGCCCAGTGCTTACTGTGAGTCGTTTTGTCAGACTCTCCTTATTTCATCAGCTTGGTCGACTGGGACACGGCGGCCAGTGCGGCCAGGGACTTGAATTTCAACAAGGTGTTTAGATGCGTCGAACAACTGGGAAGCATTTGTCATCCTGGCAAGCATCCGAGTCTCCCAGGAATGCGAGAGGTCCTCGGTGCTGCCCTGCTCGCTGGCAGACTGCTCCTGATTACATTCAAAAATGCGTTCTCGTGGCAACGGAAGTCGTAGCAACGGCTACTGAAACGGAAATCATCCGAATCGCCAGGCCAGGGTTGGCTTGATCTTCATGGTTCAGGCCTACAGAAGCCATTTCCACACGCAAGGGTTGAGTCGGCTGCATCTGTTGCCACACCTGACTCATGGTCTTGCCTTCTCTGTGTGGTCTTCGCTAGGTGCTTTCGTCCTCTGGATGCCATCGCTCGCACACTCGCTGCTGATCCTCTGCGCCGAATGCGTCAACGTGACAAATCTGAGCTGGTCAGTGCTGCGAATCGGCGAATCGGGCGGGAAAAAAACAAAACAAAAACGAGGCCTCTTGATCATCCAAAGAATGAGGGCATCTACTCTTACTCCCACTAACATGCCTCTTGGAGGGACCCCTTTGTGAGGTGCCCTGTTAGTGGGAGACAGGGTAATCTCTGCAAGCAGCAAAGGACAAACTGCTCAATCTTGCGCAAGAATGCGACAGCGGTGGAAGCAGCGCCTTCATTACGACATGCAGCGTGAAATGTCGGCGGACTGAGCCGGAGTCTCTAAAGTATATATCTGCACTGTTGGCAAAGCCGCGAAAGAGGAGCCCACCAACTTTGGCTTTTCGAGAAACCTAAAAAGAACCGGTTTTGCCTTTTCGAGAAACGCCCAGCTTTCCCAAAACCGGGAAAATCGCGTCGCGCCTCCCGCTGCGAGACGTTGAAGGCGCGGCAGTCAAAGAGGTCCAAGCCATCTAAGAAGCCCGCGTGCCTCGCCAAGGAACAATAGCCGTCAAAAAGCTCCTTGAGGGAAACACTCCCCAAATGTCCCAAAAGCAGTTGCACTCCAAAAGCACTTTCGGGGGGGGGGAGGCATAAAATTATGTGTGTTGCTTCTTGCTCGCTCACTCGCCATCTCTCTGCCTGTTTCGTCTGGCATTTTTGCCCTCGAAAATCCTGCCGCCCAATCCGAGTCAGCGCAAAACCCGAGCTGCTCGCGCACTCGCGCGCGCTTGCGGCTGCCTGCAGTAGGTGCGACCTTCCCTCCACGCATCCGGGCGCGGGTCGAAGAAGTCCCCGTGGTCCCAACCTCCGGGACTGGGCGCTTGGATCAAATCCCATGAGCATGGGGTGACCAGGGGGAAAACCACTGAAAAGATTTGAGATGTCAACCAGGATGATTGATAAACCCGCATATGGCGACATCAGACTTACCAGGAAAATGTGGGATTTCCTGCTCACGGGTCCCGAAGAGTTCCTTCAATCCAGCCCTTGTCGATCACGAATCAGAATTGCGCCACTGAATACCTGCGCGGCCCTCAGAAGCCAGGGACAAAGCATCCGTAAAAGGAAACCCATGGAAGGCGTGGCCACATGGTAGAAGAAAAAAAAAACATCCACACCACTTGCAACGAGCACCCCACCCGAAAGCTTCAACGAAAAGTGGCACACAGATGGGTTCCGCATCTGCTTGAAGGGACCCTTTCTGCCGCCCAAGCCTGAAAACAAGCTGCTTTTCAAATCGCCTGCCTTCCAAGCCATGAGACCATCCGAAGTGATGGGGGGTTCAGCATGAAAAGCGGTTCTTGGGTCTTGGAAGGAAGCTGGCTTCAAGGGAAGCCCAAGGGAAAGCTAGCATTTCTCTGTGAAAACCCGTTTTTGTGGCCTCTGGATGCCAAACCGAGCCCATGCAGGAGCCAGGGCCCAAACGCGCCAGCGGCACCTGTGCCGTTGCGAGCGGCGGTAACCTTCAATGGTGTGCCTTTCTGCCCAGACTGAGTGTCCTGATTTTTCAAGGAACTGAGCGGCCTCGTGACCCGCATTCGCACGCGAAAAATCGCGGCCTGGTGGAACATGAGCGCCCCAGAAATCCCTCCCAAATTGACCATGCCTGGCGCATAGATGAGGTCTCTTCCAAAGATACACCCTGAAGATGGAACACCCGCTACGCAATCAACCAGGCAATGATTGATCCCTCCCGTTGACAGAATATTGGATCAACCACGAAGGAACAAATCGGCAGATGTGCATTTTCGCGCTTGGCAGCAGCACGCAACCAAACCTCTTCTGGAACAAGCTTGCTCCCGCTTTCCTTTCCCAGTGTAGTCTTTGAAAGACAAATTGGAACCTGCCGCTCGCATTTTAGTCAAAGCAAACCGGGCGAAGGACTGCAAAACCAGACCCTGGAGTGTCCGAGTCGGTTTTCACGGCAAGCCACCCCCAGAACCCGTGAACCAAATCATCTCGGCCAGCGCAGAAGCACTACTGGGTCTGTCGGTTTTTAGGAGACCCCGAAATTGGCTTCAAGGGGTACCCGCGAAAAAGAAGACACACTCAAATTTGTGGTTCGCTTTGTGTTTCTAAGAGTTGGAACCACCTCAAATGTGGAGGACATGAATTCCCAACGTGCACAGAGTCCCCAATAAAAGAACTATGCCCGAATACGGAACCAGACAAATGAGGTTTCAATTTGGCTAACCTTGAAACACCAACCAAAAGGGGTCCACCATTTTGAGAACCCCCTATGATTATAAAGAAATGACAGGAAATGGACCGCGCGTTTTAGCTATTCAGTCCAGGGTTCCATCTACTGAACGGGCAACTTCCATTTTGGGGTTACACACCATTTTGACAACCACAGCCAAATGTGATCGGAGGGACTAAACCTGTTGCAACCAATTGGTAGAAGATGGGAACCATGTCCAAGACCTAAAATAAGACATCCCAAAACGCCCCCAATGGTCCCCGTGGCGAGCTGGCTCGTTTCTTGGTTGACGTTGGAAGGGGAGCAAAAATTCTCAAATTTTAGCAGTTCAGTTGGATTTCAAACACTAAACCACAATAAGCAAAAATTCAAAAAATGTTTCCCAAGAACAACCATGCACATGGCTATGGGTCAAAACCCCGTTTTTCCAAGTGAACATCCCAATCCCCACTAAAATAGAACTAAACAACTCACCATGGGTTTACCCCCGAATCGTCGCCAGAAGGCAGCGATGGGCGGCCTCCGAGCGAGCGCAGGCCGCGCGAGCGCGCCTCCAAGACCAGATCGGGGCCTGCGACCTGCGCGCCCAGCCAGGCTTCGGCCTGCGATACGAACAGAAACTGCGCAAAGGAAAGGCGAAACCGAAAGAGAGCTAAGGGAACACCAAGGGAGAACCAAGGTAAGCCAAAGGGAAAAGCAAGGGAAAACCAACGAAAACCAAGGGAAAAGCAAACGGAAACCGAGGACAACCGAGGAAAACCCGACAAAAACAAGGAAAATCAAAGGAAAACCAAGGGAAAACCAAAGAGGGAAACCAAAGAGGGAAACCCAAGAGGGAAACCAGGACTGCCCACGTGCGTGTCGCGAGGCCAAAATCTCCCAAGCGTTCCGTGGGGGGCAAAAACAGGCCAGCATGAACTGCAGCTCACCGAACAACCCTGCATTCATATCCTCATTCGCTCTTCAGAGGTCTGCCTTCGATTTCATGCGGGCGATTGGTGAGGACAAATCAACCCAAGATCACACTTTTGTGTTGGGCAGGGCGGTTCGAAGACTTACGAAGTGCAAGGTATACGTGTGCCTTGTTTATAGCAAATAATCAGACAAGCGATGCTTGAAAACCAAACCGTCCTGTGGTGGAACATGCAAGGTGGGATCGCAAAACTGAACTCGAGCATTGTCTTACCCGAACCTGACGAAGCATTCAACCATCTCGATGCAGCTTTTGGACGCGTCTCTCAATGACGACCTTCGGCCGAGACGAGGAACACAGCATTGCGGCGAGGATAATTTCTCTCTCGTGTACGGAGCAGGAGTTGCCTGGGTGCGGAGTGTGGCTCTGGGTCAATCTGAAAGCACGTCAGGATTTTTGCGGCAGCTGCTTCGAAGGTTCCCTAACTTGCATGGAAACAACTTCTCCGATCTGGCCTATGCATGCACCCCTCCAAACAACCTGTGGCGGCTGGCAAAAATGTCTTGACTGGAGCCAGGATTGAAATCTTGTGGATGTGTCCTTCCGAGTCGGAAGTACAGAATACATCTGGGCACAAAAACCAATGCAAGTGGTAAAGGCTGTAGCCGTGCGTCAGAATAGGACCCGAAATGGAACCCTGGTAAACGGAAACATGGACGAAAATCTGCGGTCCCCTGTTTTTCTTGACCCATACCTCGACAAAAGCAGAGGCGTACTACCTCACCCTGAACCAACATCCTGACTCTCGAAGCATCGAATTCTCCGGTCTTCGAGCTCGAGCAGCATCCGCTTTCTTTGTGCAGAGACATGAGCAACCAACAAAAAACATCTACCATGCCAAGGCTGGCCGACTAACTTCTCACCTGAACCAAGTGATGGAAACAAATATTTATGGAAAGCAAACTGCGTACTCTGACCAAGGGTTTGCTTTTTTCGGTGACCAGGAAACTCACTTGTTTCATTCAAAGGAAATATGCTCTGACGGGAGCTGTCCGAAACGGAAGCCCTGTGGTTTGAAGGTCCCTCCCTAACAAAAACATTAGAAAAATGACAACTGCAGTAGCTTGGAGGGTTCCCCCGAGACAGGAGCCCATAACGTGAGAGTCTCATGTAACAATACATCGCGGATTGGCTAGGAAGGTGGGCGCAAACACAAAGCCTGGGCTCAAGTTGATTGCCAGAGGCGCCTAGTGCAAAGGGATCTTGCGGATGGAAAACGGGCCATTTCAGAGATTATTTTTGCAGGATTGCAAAAATCGGGATCTGAAAGCTGATCTGGAGGGCTGAAGGGTTTCCCTGCAAAGTCGCAGTCGCTCCTCGCACCCACAGTACCATAGAAGAAATCGTAAAATTCCCACGCCAGATTGCGGCTCGCAGCCGCCAGACGAATTCAAATCCGGTTGCAAGATGCTTGGAAGGTGCTGATTCGTTTTCGGGTTTTCAAACTCCGACATGCTGGCCTTATGTTACTTGTGGTAAAAAGTCCTTCCTCTGCACGCATCTGCAAGACACTTTCAAATGCTGCATGCTGGGCGTGCCTTTTCTGAGGGCGCCGTGTGTTGCCCTTCGAAGAGCATCGGTTTTTGGTGAGAGGTGCCCAAGATTGAGACACGCCCACTGGCTCAAGCCATGGTATCCAGCGCTCAGAAACCAGCGCAGGCGCGACGCTTCCAGGCGGCCCTGTCAAAAATCTGAAAGGGTCCATTTGGTGCTGGTCGAGTTTTAGAGAGCTTTCCACGTTACCAAAATCGACAGCTATGGGCCAAAATTAAGCCAGGGGAACTCAGGTTTTACATGACAGCTGGCAATCAACTGAAAATATGCGCCCCGGGTTTTCTTCAACCGACGTCGGATGCGTTCACACAAATTTCGGGGATGTCCACTTTGGCTGCAAGGCGCTTGGCTTGTTGGCCTAACCTGCCTCGGCTATGCCTTCGATACCCATGCGGGAACATTGGCCAAGAGACCAAACCTGGGTCCCGTTCGCTGAAGCCTTGTCGACTGTGTGGCAATTCAGGCTTTCCCGCGGCAATCCCCCAAACCCAAGTGCCAAGCTTTGGCTGAATCAACATGAACTGATGAAACTCTTCGGGGCACACATGGGTTCTTCCCAAGCTTGACACCTTGTTTCCATCGCGTATTGAGATGTGCAAGCTGACACAAGCTTCGGAAAACCATCTGCTCCGAAAAGGCCGTTGGTCGCGCATGGCAAACGCTGACACTCTGCCATGGCACCTTGCTGCTAGATCTCCGTCAGCTGTGGGCCTGCAATGATGTGTGCGTGTGTTTGTTCAGTCTACCCTGACATCAGGTGGGTTTGAAACGGAGACGGAAAAAAAGCCACCCAAATTCGGGGTCCACCTATATTCACACACCCATGCTACTAGTTCCATCTTTCACTGGGGACTGGCCTGATGCCCTCCAAAGGACATGTGAGAAAGCAAAAACACATATCCACCGTTGTCAGCCATCCGGCAGTGAGTTTCACAAGCGAAACCTGACCACCATGGTTCGCGGGCTGGGAGGAATTCCAAAAGAAGGGAGAGAACCCTTCATTTTCTACCCAGACATCTTCACCTCGCTAAGTTGAACTGTCGAACATCCGGGGGATACCGAGGGGCAAGTCCTGTTTCACAAACGCCCGAACTCCTTGACCAGTTTGGTGCAAAGAGCCGGACGGGTGTGGTGTCAAAATGCACGCAACCTACACCTTCGGAAACCAAGGTCCCTTCTTCTCAACTGCGGTCTGCTGCGGTCTGCTCATAGGGATGGCGGTCTGCTTCAAGTGGCCAGGTTCCTTCCCCTGAACTTTTCTGCGCTGCCCAGGGGACTTCCGCACTGTCCCTACCCCGATTTTTCGATTTCACGCGGCGGGAACCGCGGACCGGAGGCGCGGGCCTTGGTCTGTCTCGCGCTGGGCGCGGGCATACCTGGGAAATTCGACGCCTAACCGGCTCCTGAAAGTGGGGTGGACCATTTTTTGTCTAGGGGTACCTGCCAAACCCAGGGAAAAACGGATCCGGTGGTTGAAAGAAATTTGGAATCAAACCCTAGAATTTGGATGGACTTACAAACTTGGTTCTCAAAGGGTGAAGATCTGGAAGTGCATGTCAACATCAGGAGCTTCCCTGCTGGCAGCCTTCTGAAGCCATTGCCAATGAGGGTAAATCTCGGTTTGCCAGGCAAGTGTGGATTGTCTACTTGACTGAACCCTCGCAATAGAATGGTGGCATCCTGTCCTAGTCTTCCAAGAATCTTCCTTCGTCGTATGCCAAGCCCCCGATGTTTCTTTTGTCCTTCCTCTTGAGGACCCGTTGCTAGAGACCTGGCCGCGTCTCCCTGTTTCCGCCTCCCCCCGATCCCCCTTCTTTCTCGTCCAAGCAGCTGGATGGGCCGCTCGCCCACTGCAGACTTGGGCAGTTGTTGCCTGAAATCATCTCGCGCGTGGCGTGGGGAAGGAACAGCTTGAGTCACAAGCGCGGGGTGCGTTGGGCTGTGGCTGAAGTCGCGCGTGGCCCCATGCAGGGTGGGAGGTTGGGCTACTACGTCCTCCAGTAGAGAGGCTAGAATAAGTTGGCACCAACTTTTCTCTGTTTTGTCTATTTTAGTAGGGTCCCGAACCCTCCCAACCAAAAAAGGGGTTAAGAAGAGCACCTAGCCGGCGGACCTAGGCCAGCTCTGAGGGCTCCAATCTGTTTGCATAGCTTGGCTCGCCAGTCAGCTCGGTGCGCTCGCATGTGCATCGAGGAACTTGCGGCCAGCGAGAAACTTGGGCACCAAACTACATACTTAGCCCCACTCGGCTCGTATGTTTCCTGGACTTCTTTTCCCAGAGTCTGGAGCTCCATCCAACGGAAGCGCCCAAATTCCAGAAGCGCATATCCCTCGATCAACGACTGGCCGCGCCTGGTCGCGCAATCAATGTGGCGAAGCACCGACACAAGGTCGAACTCGCGGGCCTCCGCGCGTCTTCAGCTCCAGTCGCTGTGGAGCCGAATCGGTGGTTTGGTGGGGAAGGAGGGGTTTCCCATTGACCGGCCACAAAGCCAGGGGCTCAAATCCCAAACCACCGACCAAGGGTTGCCTGACTTGTTTGCCACATCCCCATCATAACTGTTCAAAGTGCAGGGTGCGCAAGGGATGCGTGACTTGACTTCTTCTTGAGCTTGGCAGATCTTCAGTCTCTAAGCTAGTTTGATGCTTGCAGAACACGAGGGGGGGTGGAAGGGGTCGGGGGACAAATAACACGGAAAAAAAATGGGGGACAAAAAAGAACAACTCGAGAGATCAGGTTGCAGAATTCGGGTTGACATGACACGACCCCGGCCGTCCGTCAAAAGGACCCGCCTTCGGGTTGGGCTTGTAGCGGCACATGCTCAAGAAGCGCACCGCGCCGGTGAGGTCATCCAAAAAGGCCCCCACCTATCTTGACAAGCTTGGCCGTCGTTCTTGAGTTGGTACTTCCTTTTTGGTGATTGTAAGGGGAAACCAAGAGGAAAGCCGTGGTGCCATTTTGGGGGAGCCCTAAGGAAAGACATACCCAGCTTGCGAAAGAAACCTGGACTTGTGGGTCACGGGTTTCCTGACTAGGCACCAAGTCTTCGGAGCGAGCCAGACCACAGCCTCAAG